AATAGTATACTGTTAGTATGTTTATTATGTCAGTTGATTGATTTTGTTTGTAGCTAAACATAAAGTGGCAACAATTTCATTCATGTGCACAACGAGTATATTTTTCGGACGTTCCAGATATATCATTTATAATACACAAAGACAAATCTGGCGAAATTGACGAGATTGTTTATAATTATACAACACCTTATGTATCTGGACACTGTACAATTTTCGTGAGAATATTTTGCAGAAAAAAAAATCGTTAATCTAAGGCAAACAAGGTAGCCCTTAAAGGACTGCTTTATATATTATTCAATATTTAATAATATACATGTACTTATTGTAACAACTCTTAACATAAAATTAAACAAAAATGACAACTACAAAAACGATAAATTCTGGTATATACAAAATAGATTTAAGATATAATTACGTACGTTATGCATCTAAACATTCTAAAAAATGGAAGAAAAAAAATAACCAGAAAAAATTAAAATGTATTTAAAAAAAAGTAAATGTCACAAATATACCCCAGAATTACAATTGTTGTGACTTTAAATATTTTTTGTATATTGTGGTTTTAATACCGGTAGGTGTTTTTGGTATGGACCCAATAATAGGCCAATTCAGTTGGGGGCGAAGCGATAGTGAGTCGACCCTAAATAGAAAAATTAAATTTATTTGAATAATAAATGTCAAATTATAAAAAGAATTAACAATAACAATAATATAATGTCTGAGGTATTTATATTTCGAAGTTCTGTGTTAATTTTTTGTGTTCTGTGGTATTCTGTGGTGTTCTGTGGTGTTCTGTGGTATTCTGTGGTGTTCTGTGGTAAAAAGACGCTCCCGGTGAATTTCGATCAAATATCCATGTAAAAATTGTAATGCATAAAGTAAAATTTAGGAAGAGACTGTAAAAAATGGGGAACGAAGCAACGTCGACAATGATGTTGATATCCCATGATATAAGAATATTGTTTCGATGCGTTGGATAACCTTTCTATCCGCCTTATAATTAAAAAAACAAGTTGCCTTAAAAAAAAAAGACAATACGTGAACCTTAGAGCTGTTTTATCCTAATTATTAATTCAACTAAATTAAAAATAATATCTCAGTATTTTTCATGGCAATGTGTGTGGAGGATGATATTTTTTTTTATTGTAAATCATGACAATTTGAAAGTGGTGTTAAATATAAAATGAGGAGGAAATAAATAGGGAATGTGTCCATTGGACACTGATGATGCCCCCGCTTGCATATCATATAGAGTTATAAAGGGACATAACTGAAGAACGGTAAAAGTGACATTACCCAAATTTGTACTTGTTTTGACTTTTGTGGTAAAAGGTATTGTGTATAAGTTTCATATTATTTGGTTGAGGCAAACTTAAGTTAGAGAACGGAATCTTTTACGTTTGTAAAAGGGCATAACTATAGAACAGTAAACGTGACACCACCAAAATTCAAACTTGATCTGTGTTTTGTGGTAATAAGCATTGTGTATATAAGTGTCATAGCATTTGGTTGAAGCAAACTTAAGTTAGAGAAATTCAAAAATTCATAACGGAAACGAAAAATGCAGCAATTTTTCATTTGAAAAGGGGCATTACTCTAGAACGGTTAAAGTGACGCCACCAACATTCAAACGTGTTCTGTGATTTGTTATAATAAGCATTGTGTATAAGTTTCATAGCATTTGGTTGAAGCAAACTTAAGTTAGAGAAATTCAAAAATTCATAAAATTAATGAGGCATTGCGAACTGGTCAGATAGTAGGAGAAATTAATGTTCTTTACCGACCAATTATAACTCTCCCACGAGACGTATTGAGAGATCTCTTGATCTAATTATAAAACCATTATTGAAGAGGCTTAACTTTTACATTCGAGATACAAAAGATTTCATTAATAAAATTGAGTCACACGAGGTCAAAAAGCAACAAAAATATCAAAGAATATTTTGCGAGGTAGAGTTTGGGAGACTTTTGAAAAGGGACCCATGCTCAAACAAGTTTAAGCACAAAATCCCGAAACACTGTTGAAATTCTGAATCAAAGGCAACAAACATTAGTTAGCAAAAAACGGTTTAAAGTCTTGAGATTCATTACGTATGTTGGTTGAAGAAACCGCATTTCCTAATAATTTTTAATTTTAAAACACTTAAATTATGTAAATCATAAATTCAGATATATTTATTAAAAGAATGTTGGTCTCAGTATATATGTATTTCCAATCTTAATTCTTATATTGATATATATTTGCTTGAACAAATACCCGAATGTAAGATCAAATTCGCTCTTTTTCTTTTTTACCATGTTTACAGAATCCATTTAGTACTTACATGTATGCTTATTCAGTGTAAAAATCTAGAGTTAATTGTTTTGTGTAATTGTATTTATTTCTTTTGTATAACATATTTTTGAAGACCTCATAGAAGATTAACTTGTAATTGTTTAATCTATTTCCTTAATAAAAAAAGTATATAACATATTTTTATCATTAAGAGTATGATTATTTCCTGGGAATATTAACGAACAGTCTTTATTTTATTTGTTTTATTAATAATTTTCAGTTTTTGAAACGGACATTTTTGTTTATCTGATTTGTCAAAATGACAAGTGTGCCTAAAATTTATTGTTACAAATCAACAAATCCCAAAGCCCACTATAATTCATTATGTAGAAACCACAACACCATTAATAACTCTCTGTTAATATCTAGACGCAGATGTTCGATACCATAGGTCGTTAAATCTTGATCATTTAACTTTCACTTGTTAATCAAACGGTGCAACTGTAACCTTTGCTCAAGTAAACACTTACGATGCATAAATGTAGCTTTAACATACATGTTTGAAAGTGATCTATAGATACATTAAGTTTATTATCATATACCAGATAAATGAATAAGCGATTTGTGAAAAGATCTTTCATGATTGCCACGTTTTAAATATCTTAGATACCCCCGTATGGTGGAGCTCTTAATTGCAGGAGGCTAATACAGATAAGATGAATAAGTGTTCCGAATGAAGAATAATTTAGCTTCCGAATACTGCTCCATAGACTATTTCTAATTAATATATGTGTGTGAACCCTCAGGGGTTCACGCAAAAAAACCCTTTCATTTCTTTGATGAAAGCTGTATGTGATTTTATAGCCATTGTTTAATGTTTATAATTATATAAGAATATGAAACGAAATAGATTTTTTTAATGCGTATAATATCGTTAGCGTCTAAGAGGTTTGCTATATACGCCTACTGGGAAAAATAACAATGCGATTATTGTAACATATTTAAAGCTCAAGTCTGATATGAAAAGTCTTAAACACGGTAATCTGTCATAAGCAGACCTGTCCTAAGGTCTGGTCAATAGCAGACTTGTCCATAGGTCTGGTCAGTAGCAGACCTGTCTACAGGTCTGGTCAGTAGCAGATCTGTCCACAGGTCTGGTCAGGAGTAGACCTATCCACAGGTCTGGTCAGAAGCAGACCTGTTCACAGGTCTGGTCTAGGGCAGACCTGTCCTCAGGACTGGTCAAAATCAGACTTGTCCAAAGGTCTGGTCTGGAGCAGACCTGTCAATAGGTCTGAAGCAGTCCTAAAAAAGCAGACCGTAGGTCTGGTCTACCAACGACGAAGTTAATTTGCTTGTCTGCTTAAAATTTCTCAAGTTAACTTAGAAAGCAGTCAACAAGTCTGCTCCAAATTAATTTTTGTACAGGTTAGGACCGCACCCATCTGTAACATTTGGTAAACATTGTCAGTATCTGTCTTTTAGTAGCTGAAGTCTTGTACCAATTACTCTGTATCGGCATCTTTCTGTTGGACGAATTTCTCCTGTATAGTTGCATTTTTTATATCTAATATTGCTTGCAATTTGGTCTTCTGGAGTACTTCGATGATCTCGTAGATATTGGGATGAGCATGTCTTTTCATCTTTATTTTGCTTTTACATCCTTCCAGATCTTGGGGGCTGGCTAATTCGGTCAAGTAGTGGTACAATAAGCAAACGGTATCCAGAATTTTCAGAAAGAAGTTATTATAAAAATCAATTGATAAATAGTGTGAATAAATATAATAAATTTCGAATGGCACTTATTTTATTTTCACGTTTCATTATTTTAATTTTTATATTTTATTCAGATTTTAAAAGTATTTCACTAAAAAAAATGTGTAAATCTCATTATGTTGAAACTCTACTAAAAAAAAATAACAGAATTGATTATGTAGTTTGTAAATCATGTAAAAGTATTGCTGCTCTGCCTATAAAAAACTCATCATTATTAGACAACAGGAGAAACCTTTTGTACGCCAGACGCGCGCTTTATCTACGAAAGACTAATCAGTGACGATCAAATCAAAAAAGATAAAAAAGACAAAATTAACACGAAGCTGAAGAGCGTTGATGACCCAAAATTCCATACTAGTATTACAAGTCACATTAATTGTTTTTAATAAACTGTTCACACGGAAATATTTCTTGTCTATCTATAGTTTTATTTCATTAAAAATGCAATGTTGATTGTAATGGCAATATTTGCCTTTTTGTAATTTTGATAGTATAATGCAAATGTTGAAATTGTAATGGCAATGGCTATATTAATTCTACATAAGAAAATGCCTGTACAAAGTCAGGAACATGATAGTTGTTATCCATTCGTTTGATGTTTTTGAGCTTTTGACTTTGCCATTTGATTAGGGACTTTCCGTTCTGAATTTTCCTCGGAGTTCGGTATTTTTGTGATTTTACTTTTTAAACATTTAAACTATGCAAAACATTCAAAGTCAATGAACCGTGACTGAAAGTGCAGGACCAGATAACCTTCATTAAAATGAGAAATGCTAATGCTTTTAAAACTGCAAAAAAATACTGTTCACTTATCAAAATTTCATTTACCCACCACTAGAATCAACTAATATAATATGATTGTTATTTTATTTTGGTGTGTAACTGTCACTTTGAGCCATACTTTTAGTTTGTGGTTCTATACATAATATATGGTTGTTAATATTTTTAGTTATCGATTCGAGGAGGTGCAAAATAATTCTGACAGATTATGGAAGTATGGGAGATATGCAATCATCACAGACTATAGTACAAGATATCCTGTGCCTTTCAATGTGTTTGGACATGTGTTCAATTTTTGTAGTAAGTCTATGTATAATGATTTATAAAAGACTAGTACAGTATTATTCAACTAAAGGGAATTCCAACTCATAAGTCGAAATAAACTAATAACGCCATGAAAAAAAGACAAAAGACCAAAAGACAAACAACAGCATACAAAACAGAACATAAAATATTAAGACGGAGTACCACAAACCCCTACAAAACCGGGAGTGATTTAAGGTGCTCCGGAATGGTTAGCAGATCCTACGCCACATGTGGCATCCGTCGTTTTGCTCATGTAAGCACAAATCCGGTGATAAGTCTAATTCGGTAGGTCAAAATCGGTGAACAGGAGGACGGGATTGCGATTATGACGATTGGAAGATATGAGTCGTCATCTGTGAAACAGATATTCCATAACGGTCAAACAACTCGTGGTGGCGACTGTAAAATTTTCGAAGGGATGACTTTAACTTCACTTCTTGGAACTCACGGTTTAATAGCTTCCCTGTGAGCAGCAATCCTTTTTCTAGGAAATCATGATAGGAAAAGCAAGCTCAGAAATATCGCATCAACTGGGTGATATGTACTTCATATACTTCGCTCCTTAAATGTTGCTACATAGACATTGAACGTTCACACTTGGGAAGCTGAAATCAACCCTTCTGTCATAAAGTTTTGTTCGGAATCGACCCACAATGCCATTTCAAGATGTAAGTCAATATATGAGAAAGACTAATGACCGTTATATATGCAAGTTTGGAAATAAATTCGCATTGGATAATGGCCATTTCGATACTGAATGTTTTCATCTCAAAGATGGGAGATTTTCCGTCCGTGAATAAGTCTATTTTTATGTGGAGCACCCATATCTTTTTAAATCGTCAGAATGTTAAGGTTCTTTCAATCCCCTCGAAAAATTCAGCAGAGATGGATGCGTTCTAGTATTGTTTGTATTGAAAATCGAAAATTTCTACTAGAAAATGTTTGTTATTGTAGTAAAAAAACTATTTATGAAAAATGCCTTTATTGTATCGTTGTTATAAGATAGTTTTTACTTAAGATATCAATGTTTAAACCTATCACCTGTCTCATATACTAATATTAAACAAACGTATGTTCGAACATCAACGATGCCATTTCCGTCCAGATTGGAAGTTTAGAAGATCAGCGATGTGTGACGAATAAAATGTCGATCAATATTATCATAAATAATTAATATAATATAAGAAATATTTCTCTTTACATTTGAATACAACGAAAGACCAAAACTATAGCAACGTTAAATGCCTACAAGTTTTCGGGTTTCTGTTAATTATTTTTAAAATTTCTAAAAGGGATGCGGGGAAACAGTTTGTTTAGCTGACAACAGGATGTATATTTGAAAGCTCCGAATTCAATTCATTCAGATTCGTTACTTTTATATCATTTTAGGTATGCAATTTTGATATCTTACATGCAAAGTAATTACAAGTCAATATTTTTTAATACATGACTGCAAATCTTGTCGCGTCTTAAAAAATGATTCAGGGGAATTTCTTTGATAGATCCTAGTAGTTAAAAGTCGTCTTTCTGTGTCAATATGTACAGAACAATATCCAGATATGCAGTTGGTCTCTGAGTTTCATCAATTTTAAGTTTTAAGTGATATCTAAAATGCAAAATTTCGCTATAATGTGGGTGCCTGAATGACAAGGCTTCAGATCGGGCGACTAAATAACTGTTGCATTGTAATTTGTACAGCTTCCTTAATCAGCTTGAGGCAATAATAATGTCCTGCTTTTCACACCAGTTGGTCCAGTTTGCATACCTCATCTATAAGATATTATTAAGTTGTTCTCATTTTGAACAGGCACCACATTATAGCTACTGAACATTTAGCAAGCAGCAATTAATTAATCAACCGACATGTTTTATATATTTTATTATCCCCAAACACATATTAACAATTCAACGATACCATTAATGTCACATTTGACAAATAAATGACGACTACACAATAGAACTTAATATATCTGATGTAGCTTTGCTAACTACGAATTGGTCACATATGATAATGCAAAACAATGCATCATCTAAAGATTTACACATTTTTCTATTCTTAAAAAAAACATAAATGTATTTTTGTTAAAACAAAGTAAGAATATCACGGTGAAAAATTTAAAACAATAATCGAACAACACATCATGTCCCAGTTGATCATTGAATTTCTCCTGATGACTTGAAACATTTTTATTATGTTATTGTCCAAGAAATTCAAATGAAGTATTTGATTACTTTACATTGAACAAAAATTCACAAAATTCCGTAAAAACAATAATACACTGCCGGCTCATCTGCATGTTCTACAAAGGAATTACCCATTATATTAACAAAAATTATGTCCGCTGTGAAAGAAGGTCTTTAGAAATACTATGAAGCTGTAGGTGCGTAGTGGTATTAACCTATACGTGGATTCTAAAAAAAAACTTCTGGATAATTTTAAATCTCGATCTTTCCTTGAAATTAATTCATTCAAAACCTTTGCTTTTTCAACCCTTTAAACCACCATTCCTTGTGAAATTGAAAAATCGTCTAAAAGAAATATTCTTTTCATATATAAATGGTAGCATACGCTATAAATTTATTACTTTGAGATAATATACGACATATTTTGTTAATAGTTAAAAAAAGGTTAAACACGATACATCGATCGTAAGGAAACTTGGTAATCAGTATGCTGGAGTTTCTTATTGACGACATGTTTGTTGAATTTGGATGTAAACCGTTTCAACAAATTGTCGGCATCCCTATGAGAACGATCTTTGCACATCTCCTTGTCGAACTTTTCTTATTTTGATATGAGTCAAAGTTCGTTCAGACAATTATCAAAAACAAGAAGATCAAAGAGGCCAGATAATTTAATTTCACATTCAGATATATTGATGATGTTCTTTCCATTAACAATTCAAACCTTTCTGGTTGGTTTCCATTAATATATCCTCCAGAACTATAAATAAAAGAAACAACAGACACGGCTTCTTCTGTCTCAATTTTAGACATATACCTCGAATTTGACATGAGCTGTCATCTCAGTACCAGAATCTATGAGAAACGAGACGATTTTAATTTTGAAATTATAACTTTCCCCACCTTAGCAGCAATATACAAACTTCACAAGCATATGGAATAAACATTTCCAACATATTCTGTATTCTAGAGCTTGCAGCTGCTAATCAGACTTTATAAAACGTCACCAATATCTTAGTAGAAAGTGGATGAACCAATGTTATGTCAAAGAACATTTCATCCGTTTTCTGAAAACGTTCATCAGAAGATACCAAACTCTTGTTGATAAATATTTAGTGTCAACTTCACAAATAATACATGCTGGTCTTGAAGTATAGATTTTAGGTAATGACGTTGTTTATCATCTTAACTTTGTATTATAGTGCTCTTTAAATTTGTCTTTGTATATTTTTTTACCTTCACTGTTTACTCCATTTTTGGTAATATCCTTTTGGCGTGGCTCAGTATTTATTGATACATCTCGCCATTGTGTTATTGTGCTATTATCATTTTTTTTTTGTATTCTTGTCTTTCCTATTTGCTTATGTGCTTTGTAAATATAGTGTCTACATAGCATTTTGTTTTTCTATGTTGTCATAGTTGTTTGTTTTTATAGATATTACGATTATAGCACAATGTTGATTTCTGTACCCCAATTTTTGACATTTTTACCTCTTATGTCTGCTTGTTTTGCTCACACATTGTTGTCAATATAAAAATATTTTACGCCACTATCATACAAGTGAGAGGTTAATAAAACCAGGTTTAATTCACCATTTTCTAATTAAGAAGAGAGGCGAAAGATTTCAGAGGGCCACTCAAACTCATAAATCGAAAATAAATGTGACAACGTTATGACTAAAAAAGAATAAGACCAACAGACAAACAGTAGTACACAAAAACTAAAGATTGAGCAACACGAACCCCACTAAAAGCTGGGTGTGTTCTCAGGTACTCCGGAAGGGTAAACAGATCCAGCTCCTCATGTGGCACCCGTCGTGTAGCTCATTTAAGTACAAACCCAGTAATAAGTCTAGTTCGCGATCGGTAGGTGACATTCGGGAAAAGGGGACGGGATTGTAGCTTAGACATCAGAAACATATCCGCTATCATCTGTGAAACAGATATTTCATGACGGTCAACCAACTCGTTATGGCGTCCGTAAAACGTACGAAGGGATGATTTCAACTTAACCGCTTGGAACTCTTGGTTTAATAGCTTCCTTGTGAGCAGCAACCCTCTATCAAGGAAATCATGATAGGAAATACAAGTAATGAAATATCTATATATATGGCGATGCTGGAATGTTACTAAATCTGTGTATATAGAAATAAAAGTTCACAATTGGGGGGCTGAAATCATTTCTTTTGTGGGAAAGTTTTTCAACCAACCTCATTATCAATGTTAAGATTTGGGCACACTTAACTGAATCTGTTGTATCTTTTATCTCAAGTTCGATGGGATAGATGCGTTCAACAGTCACAAAATTTTGAATTATTCAGTGAGAGAACATCATCTTTATAGCGAAAAGTAAAGTTAAACGATACTGCTAACTTATTTTCTTTCTTCGTTAGAAGTTGTTGTATGAAGTCTGCCTTATATGAATAAAAGGACAAGTCGGCAAGTAGAGGGGCACAGTTGGTTCCTATGGGAATGCCGATTGTTTGTTGAAAACACACGTCCTCCAAACGTAACAAATATGTTGTCAATCAAGAAATCAAGCATCTTGATAATGTCAGTTTCTGAGATTTTTTGTTTGAATCAGAGTGATTTTTACAAAGAATGAATTATCCCTCCCTATGACAAGATATTTGTATTAACGTTGGTCATTCTTTTTATGGAACAAATCAGGACCAACTCTTTGAATTTGTATTTTATTTTGGAACGGGGAATACTTGTGTAAAGAGAAGAACAGTCAAATGTTTTAAAACTATTGCAAGACGAACAAGTCTTAGATTGTATGTACTCTAGAAGATCTTTGGATTTTTTTAGTATCCACATCTGATGCACGCCTCCTCTAGAATAGGTCGTTTCACAAAACGCCTGTACAAAGTCAGGAATATGACAGTTGTTTTCCATTCGTTTGATTCGTTTGAGCTTTTGATTTTGCCATTTGTTAAGGGGTTTTCCATTTTGAATTTTCCTTGAAGTTCGTTTTTAAACGCCTGTCAAATTTTTGACGGGACGTATTATGGTATACAAATGTCCGGCGTCCGTCCGTCTATCTGTCCGTCTGTCTGTCCGTCTGTCTGTCTGTCCGTCTGTCTGTCCTGCGTAAACATGTCGCACCGTAACTTGAGAATGACTTATCCAAATTTCATGAAACTTAACATAGTTGTTTCTTATGATGGTCAAACGATCTGTATATTTTTTGGTGAAAATAAGATTAAAACTTTTTGAGTTACGGGACTTCGTAACTAAAACAGGTGTGTGTTTTTTTTTCACATGTCGCGCCGTATCTCAAAAACAATTTATGATTATTGCTTAAAACTTTACACACTTCTTAGTTATATTAACCTCAAGATCTGTATACTTTTTGGTGATGATTCAAAATTTTATTTTAGAGATATTGAGTATTTTGTTAATAAAGGGGGAGGGGTTTTTCACATGTCGCGCCGTATCTCAAAAACAGTTTATGATTATTGCTTAAAACTTTACACACTTCTTAGTTATATTAACCTTAAGATCTGTATACTTTTTGGTGATGATTCAAAATTTTATTTTTGAGTTATTGAGTATTTTGTAAAAAAAGGGGGAGGGGTTTTTCACATGTCGCGCCGTATCTCAAAAACGATTTATGATTATTGCTTAAAATTTTACACACTTCTTAGTTATATTAATCTAAAGATCTGTATACTTTTTGGTTTTGATTCAAAATTTTATTTTTGAGATATTGATTTTTTTTTTAAAAGGGGGGTTTTCACATGTCGCGCCGTATCTCAAAAAACGATTTATGATTATTGCTTAAAATTTTACACACTTCTTAGTTATATTTATCTAAAGATCTGTATACTTTTTGGTTTTGATTCAAAATTTTATTTTAGAGATAATGAGTTTTTTGTAAAAAAAAAAGGGGGGTTTTCGCATGTCACGCCGTATGTCAGAAACTATTTATGCTTATTGCATAAAAATTCACACACAAGACGACGGGCGTATCATGCGCTCATGGCGCAGCTGTTTATTTTTGTTATTTTACTTTTTATCTTATTTCAGATAGAATACGACAGAACGGTAAAACAGGAAATAATACCCCTCAAGAGCAGGAAAATGTATTAAGTATGTCCAAAACTAAAATTAGTTATATACTGTTTTAGGCATTGTGTGTTTAAATATGTTACCAAAGCAAAGGTGCACGTTGGAGAAACTTAAACTTCGAGTTCGGTTTTGTAAACAAAATAATAATTTACTTGTATCGATCATATAACTTAGTTTTTGTTGAAATCTGTGAAATGATCTCCATATGATTTCGTGTGATTTTTGTTGATGTGTGTTTTCCTGTTGTTGTTATCATTTACCATTGTTGACATTTCTCCAATATATTTTTTTAACCGGTTGTTGTCATGATACTTATTAAAACAATGTGAATGCAGTGTCTCTTATGTGTGATAACTTCCATATTAAACAGAGTATGTGTGTGTATAAACTGATAAACAACAGTTAATAAAAATACTTCTCTACTTTTCTGTTCTTTCATATTAAAAATCTGATAAAAGTACATTCGTTTTCTGATCATTGAAATGTTTTCTTTTTTTCAGGAAAATGTATTGATGCTTGTTCATTCAAACCTGAAACATTAGGGACGTTACAAGAAAAGTACGCCACCATCCGTCTTTATAGTGAAATAACAATGAATTCGAAATATTCAGACTGACGTTTAATATAAATCAAAAATGTAGATTAGACATTTGCTTTTCAAATGATATTTTTGAATATTCTTATAGTATATAGCCATTATTTGCAAAGATATAATTGAATATACTTATAGTATGACAGTTCACTATATAATTAGGTTTTACTTTTATTTTATACTATTATATTATCAAAGTTTCTTTGTAAATTTCTATTCTATTTATTGATTTGTTTCTTTGATTCCAAGAGTAGCATTTTTTGTTTGGTGGGTGTCTTCCTCGAATACTTACACTTATATAATACCTATGTTTCGAAAGTTCATAATTATTGATTGCAGTCATGTGATCTATAAAACACCGTTACTGTTCCACATACGATTCAGCTATAAGCTACCACACCTTTCAGTGCTTAACCCTATCCTTGGTTTTTTTAAAAGATTTTGCTAAATTATTTCACTTTTTTTCATTTGTCTATGTATATTTTAAGTGTCTTAACTTGTCTCTTGTCCGTATATCTCGTCCAGACCCTTATGAGTATGCTTTAGATAATCCTTGTGAGTGTATGTGTTATATTTGAACAGCATTTTGCCTGTTTTAGGATACGTTTTGTTTTTTAAACCCTCCGTGAAATATGCGTGAGTTTTTAAGTAATTAGTGGCTTGTTATTTTCTGTGATGTAGAATTACACAATTAACAATTCAAACATATATTTTTATTTATTAGGGTTTATATGCACACATATTCTATTCAATATGGAAGTTATCAGACATAAGAGACGCTGCATTCGCATTGTTGTAACCTTTTAGGAATTGAGTTTCTTTTTATTCTCGTGTTGTTATCTTCTACCTGTATTTGAACAGTGAAAACTTAATCCATTGTCTTTTTGTTTCATGGAGGGTTTAATATACACTAGCAGCCATTTCTTGAAAGTGGACTTGCCAAGTTGTCAATAAGTTCACTGAAAGGAATTTATTTTTTTAGTATTTTCATGTGTTATTTATTAAAAAGCTGAAGAGAGAGTGAAATTGGATTATCCTATAACTAAAGGTGATTTTATGATAAGTTTCAATGTACGGCCCCTTGATTTCGAAAATTAAAACTCATAATAAATCTACAAAATAACATCCTTCAGATGTTCAAAAGACAGAAATCTGCGAGACATCATTATTTAAATTTTTGAATGCTGTCTTAAAAATTGGTATTACATGTAGGGCTTCAAATTAAACTTCATACGATAGACTAATTTAAAATATTGTCATTAATGTTAAAATATAACTAAGAGCTTCACCCAAAAATATATTTTGATACAGCATATGTTAATGTAGGTAACATATTTGTTTTTCGTTCACTATTATGTACATTAATTAGGCCGTTTGTTTTCCCGTTTGAATTGTTTTACATTTGTCATTTCTTGGCCTTTTATAGCTGACTATGCGGTATGGGCTTTGTTCATTGTTGAAGGCCGTACGGTGACCTATCTATACTATTAAATTTGGAGACCAAATTTTTAGCCGGTTTGTCCAAGCCGATGATCGTCTGAAGTATTATATAATAATAAATAGTTAATGTATGTAATGTACTTTATAACTTCATATAGTAATTGATTTAATTAGCGTAGCTTAATTAATTAAACCCAAAATAAAGTTCCGTAGCTGGTTCCTTACTGTCTATGTTTTGTAAGCAGGCGGATATGGTTTTGTATTCAATTTGTCTTGAATTTATGACAACTCGGACCAAGGCCAACTCGCCCAACTCAAACACTCTCACTAATTATAACAACTTGCATCACTTTATCAAACTCGCTACACTCCAAAAAAAAAAAAGAAATATAACTAACTCGAAGAAATGTGTTTAATCATTATATTGTTTTCTTCTTCTCATAGTAAATTCCTCTTTTCTCGGAGCATCCGTGTCACACAGAGACAGAACTCGCACCACTCGAAAAAAAAATACTACAAACTCGCACCACTGAAGAAATGTTTTAAATCATCAGAGAGTTCTAGATTGTCTTCTTTTAGTTATTTCCTCCGTTCTTGGAGTACCCGTATCACACAGAGACGGAACATGACACGCACCTTTCGAAATAAAAATTAAAAAAAATACTACAAACTAGCACCACTGAGAAATTTTTTAATCATCAGTGTTCTAGGTTGTCTACTTCTTCTCTGAGTTATTTCCTCCGTTCTAGGAACACCTGTGTAACACCGAGACAGAAGCTACTAATTAGACATTCAAACTCCTATGGAAAAAGAACTGACAAACTAATCAAAACTATCAACATAATGCAACAGTTTGAGAAACACTAACCCAAGCTGTGTATCACCATAAACATTTCAAGTAGTCTTCAACCCACGCTCGCGCGGGTTTTTTCTAGTAGATGTTAATTTCTGCGTCATTTGGTCTCTTGTGGAGGATTGTCTCATTAGTAATCATACCACATCTTCTTATTTTTATAAAGTATCGTTTTGTGTAGAGCTCTAGCTCTTATATTATGCTGATCAAACACTCTGCGTGAAACTTATATTTTAGGTAAAACCAATACTGTAGCTATAAAACTAAAACATTTTTTTTATCAGGATGAAGTCCTTCTTTTAAAATTATAATACGTTTACTAACTAAGTTGGTTCACCTGTTTTATGATGGAGAGATGGAAGTCTGTTTAAGTGTCAATCAGAGGGGTATTGTAAGCATTCATTTTTTTTTATTTCCTATGATTTGTGTATGACTACTGGTACTATAGCTTCGTAATAAATGTGTCACCACAATTACATATGGGTTGTACATATAAAAGTGGTAATGGACAGGCGTTTTGAATTGTCCGCCGTGCAGTTTTGTAAGAAACCGTGCATTTACCAATTCAGGTTATGGTCACTATTACCAAGTATATCACTGGATTGAGCACTCTCCCATAAAGTAGTGTTAAGGTTCTTTGCACTGATACCAGTTGAATATTATACATTATCTTTTACATCTGTAAACAGATAATACACATGTTTCATTATACTCAAGCTAAGTTTAGTAAAACTTTCTTTTACATATAATTGTCAACCAGGTCTTGGGAGACAAACAGAACAAATTGTTCAAAGATACAACTCAAATTACACAGGATCAGTATAATTATTTACCGCATATATATATACCAAAGGAACGTGTGAGATAAAGTTTTAATTGTCATCACTTTGCATCCATCGGCATCGTCAAACTTCTACGTTTCAATCTACACCTGTAGAACTACTTTTATCAATTGAAACCAAATTTGAAGATAATTTACAAATGCAAGGTTTTGTTGTTGATCGTATATTCAAATGACTGCTAGGTCTAAACATGTATTGTGATTGCCTGAAATTGATATTCTGTGGAATCGCTTGGCATATTGAAATGGAATTATTATGAATGATCCAAAAATGACCCTTCACTTATGTTACTGTGTCGATCCAAATCGTCACAGAAACTGTCTCAAACATTTATACCAAATCATGCAAAAATACACTAGGAGTGGTCTGCTGCGAGCTTTGGTGCCTATCTAAAAATCAAAGTCGGCGTCAAGGTGGGTCTTAGAACCATATTGGAAATACATACAAATAGCCCTTTACATAGACCGTCTCAAACATTTAAACCAAATTTTGAATAAGTAATACTATAGTGACCTTATACTTATTTTAAATTTGTGTGCCAATTCGAAATCCACCATGGCTTTCACCATGATACTGAGGTGGGGAACACCATACTGAATAGTCATTTTGATTAATCCCTAGATTAAAACAGATGCTTGTTAGTGCTGCTCAGAAGAGAAACAACTATAGGGATTATATCTCCAAATTATTGCTATAATTACTATAATAGTTATATCATCCACAGTATAAAAGTTGAAATTTTAAATTTTAAATCAACACTGACCTGTGTCCACACATGTAAACGAACATGTAACCGAAAAAAGCGATTTCTGAACCGACTAGGAAAGGACTAGCGTTGACATGCTTTTACTGGGATGATTATGATCGACCAGTAACTTAAAACACATCTCTACATTGGATCCTAATTGGAAAAAAGTACACGTCTCATTGCTGCTTGTGTCACTGAAAAAATATAGAAATGAATTCAGGTCTCTTTCATTTAGATGTGATACAACTACATATTAACTTCAGTTACATGTAGGAGCAGAAAAAATAAACGATCATTAAATGTAATGTTTACTTAGAAAACTTGTCTCTAAATAAACGTTGCAATACCAGCTGATATCTTCCAAATGTAACGGAATGCGTCATTCGCAACTTGTTTAATCTCGTGGCGATCAAGTCTTAGAGCTTGAAACATTATACACACAAATATATTTATGTAAATATTTGTCGTAAATTGGCCTCAAGATGTCTTAAACTAGTGTTGTTGAGTTGCTGTCTCATTGAATTATACCCATATCTTCTTTTGTTCGCAAACAATTGTCAAAAACGTAGGTTATGATTACACAAACATATATACAATGTGTCTTAAGCCTAGATGTTTCAGATTTGTTTTCTATGCTCAACAACAAGAATTTTTCTTTTCAAATTTGTATATTTTCGTTCATCTTTCGGTATCAATTGTATTCTGTTTGCACACGTAATACTATTATTTGACAACAGCGTCGCAGTAGAGGGTTAGACAAATATTGAATTAATACAATCAAACGACTATTAGACTTGTTAGGAAAGGGGTTTAAATACTGCGCTGATGTTAAATACCAATACCGATACAAGATTTAAGTGAGGACTTTCTCAAAATACAATTGCATTGAAAAGTATCCCGGCGTAGTATAGTTTAGCTTTGTGGTGTGTTTGATACAATATGAAGCGAACGGTTAACGTGGACTCCATTTTTTTAAGACGTGCATTGGCCTTACGTAGATCTTCATACATTCATTTGCATTTGTTTAATTTTGGAGTGCAAAACAAAACTTAAAAAATATATGTAAGGGTCAAAAATGGGAATGGCGGATTTTACGGCCACAAGTTCAAATATATACATTAAATGACATAAGTAGAATATGTTTAATAGTCAAATAACTCAGTTTGCCTCTCCATAAGTCCAGTACACAATTCAACAATTTGATTGGATATCTCCACAAACTTCCGACAACCCTAAATGTTTTTAAACATCTGATGGCGTGTTCGACATAAACTTGACTTTCTAAATTTCTTCTATTTAGTTTTTTGCATTTTCTGTTTTTCCCTTTACGGTTTTGTCTTATTTGGTGTCTCCTACTATGGCGTAACAATTCGTGAGAGGTTTGCATAAATCTTATCACATAAATTAACTCAGTTTGGAGGAAAATCGAATTCCAAGTTCGTGCCAATTCTTGGAAGAAAGTTGTCTTGCTGCGCATCGTTTTAATGTTCAAGAAAACCACTTTCCACGAGCCGTATGTGATTCGTATTGTCTACTACTATCTGGAGATGAATGCAATAAATGGACAGAAGGACGAAAGAACGGACGGATGGACCCATCCACCCATCACTATATACCGTCCAATTTAGAAAGCGGAGAGTATAGTGAATATTACGCAAAACAAAATGAAGGAAATCGGGAAAAAAAAAAAATGCCCGACATATAATTTAGCAGGCTTTGCAAGAGGTGAAAATGAACATTCCATTTTCAAAATATCCTTCAGACCCAAAGATAATAAAATCAACGTCTCCATATGAAAAGTTTAACGCCACTTTCAACAGTATCTCAATTAAATCGTGGTTTTTGTTTCATGCTTTTATTTTTTTTTAATTGTCAAGTACACAAATTTCTAGTTTTTTTTTCACTAGAATTTTAAGCTACACATTTCTCTATCATAGAAAATTATATAAAATAAGGAGATGTGGTATGATTGCCAAAGAAGACAACTATCTACCAGAGACCAAATGACGTAAATGTTTGCAACTATAGGTCACCGTATGCCCCCCAACAAGGAGCAAAACCCATCCTGCATAAAAGCTATGAAAGGCCCCGACATGAAAAGTATATCTTAAAATTTTTTCAAATAAACGAACATTTTGAACAAAGATTGATGTAGAGTAAAAAATAGAATTCGGATGTGATTTGATTGCAGTGATTTTTTTTATTTATTTATTTTGATCACTTTGCAGATTTTCCTTGTCGTTCAACAACATAGTAAGAAATGGGGGAACAATGATCTTAAACTTATTCGATCCCTTCTATGAAACAATGCAATTTTATATGATAATAATATTAATAATGATCGTGTTGTTTTGCTGGATCCTCCTCGGTGTATTGCGGAATAAATTGTTATTATTTAATTGTATAAAAGTCATCTCAGCATTATCAAACAAACCCATACAGGTAACTATAATGAATGATTGTCTGGACTTTTTGGAATGGTCCCCACAATAGCCTGTAGTGGTATTGGTATTAGACATCAGCGTCAAAATCGTATTTACTTTCCTAACACGTCTATTGATTGCACTTGCATGTTTGTATAGCCCGTTTAATTAATCAATGGCTGATTTAAACTGAAATTTTGATTTTCCATTTAAACTCTTGTCTTATTGTATACAGTGACATATACAATCTATTGAAATCTTATGAACCGATAAAAGAAAGTCCTTTGTAGAATAATCATTAAATCAAAACAAATTCAAATTTAAAAAACGAGTATTACAAATGTCTGCAGTACAGTTCTTGTAAGTAAGTATATTTTAAACATAGTTTTTAATTATTGACAAAAATATCGATGTTGAAAATTTCTTAACTGCAGGCAAAATAGTTATTTTGTATTTTGTTTCCGTCAGTTAGATTGAGTACTGGTACGTTAATTTACTCTCAAGTCACGGGTAAAAACAAGATTAAAAGTTACTGTCATGGAAGGGAATATACCATAACATTTAGAGCGAGGGGCTGTGCCGGAGCACTTGATTTATTAGTACATACATTTCCATTGACTATCCAATTAAGCACATGTTCATAACTCGAGTATTACTAATCTTGTAATTAATATATTGATAGTTAAAGTTTTATGGCTGCTTGTTTCGCAAGTGTTTGTGATACGGAGTCAACAAAAAGCCTGTATCAACTAAGCTTTGTATAGTGTAAAATCTACTTGCACAGAAGAGAGGCGAAAGATACTAAAGGATATCATATAGCTGTCATATTTGTGCAATTTGAAACAGTTATTTCCTATATGGCAAGTTCATATATAAATTCAACAAACGAGGAATGGGAACTTGGCGGTTTATCTGTAAACCAAACATAACAAAATTGTGATTTAAAAAATCCCTTGACTTAAAAAAAAGGCTGCTGCTGGTGAAACTCATTTATTAATTTTCCGTAATTGTTTCTGTGCCTCATACAAAATTCTGCAAGATGGGTCCTTGATTACATGTCAATTAAAATTATGATTGCAATTATTCTGATCATCCTGGGTGCCGTGATTGGTAAATAAAATACAGTAACTGTTATGCTGTTGTGTATTCTTAAAAAGTACTGCAATTTTCGCTTTATCTATAAGTGCGCAGTAAAACTAGTTTTTTTCCTCAGATTTATCCTGCCTTTGATAAAACAACGAAATTTGTTCGCTGATTTTGAAGTTGAATTGCACTTCATTGCCTAAACAATCCGATTTAGCAAGAATGGGTCGCAATACTTGACCACCACTACTTATTCTTTCACAATCAATTGTCTTGATACATCGGAAGACGTCCTTGACAACATAGCACTTGCAGCTTCGTACAGGTTATGATAATTTTTAATTAGAATATTAAAGATTCGCGATAAAGCGTACTAACTGATGGATTTGAGTTTAAGTGACAGTTTGGGATTCAAGTTTAAGACTCGGTTTGTAATTTTAAATTAAGCAAGTTTGTCAGATTTATGAGGATAATGTGGTTTCATCTATTCTGCAGAATACTCTTGATTACATCGTTCTTTTTTTTTTTTATTTTGTTTGTATTTATATTTACTAGTGCAATAAGAGACATATATAGTACCATACTATATATATACGGACTTTGCCCATTATTGAGAGCTTTGGACTCTGTTGAATAGTTATCTCATTGGCAATCATACCACATTTCCTTATTCTATATACATGTCTCTGTCAATATTAACGTAGAATATAGATGAGGGAATTTAGTGTTGACTGACACTATGGAACATAATTAACATTGACCCTCATTTGAAATACAATTAAATGGCCATTGAACAATCATTTTTAACATTTTATTACTATTATTTTAATTAGATTAGGAGATGTGATATGATTGGCAACGAGGCAATTATCCACAAAAGTTCAAATGACGTCGATTGAAAGATATTCTGTTTTAAAATAACAAGCGGCCGTTTAAAAGACTGTTATAAATTGATAGTATATAAATAACGGAACTCATAAAACAGAAAAAATGAAGAGTCCGTGTCCTAGCTTGTTTTCGAGATATCAGCCATTGAAAGTTTGGCTGGAAATGATTCTCTCTAGATTTTTCATACATTTAACATTGGCACCTTTTTTCTTTCAAAAACTATGACAAAAATCACAAAGAGTTGGCTAATAAAATTACGAAAAGATAAAGTAGGGGTTAGCGTGCAAATTTTTAATTGGCACTTTATGGATAAAACAAGAGGATTCCGAATACCTGACAAAAAGTCAAAACAAGCGTAAAAGAAATTTAATTAACTAGTTTAGGATTTTTAAATGTTGAAATCAGAGACAAACAACCTCGTGTAAATCAGACTCAAAAGGTCTTCAATAATACACCTCCATCTTATTGAATGAACGAATGAATAAATGAATCTTTATTGCAAAAGCATAGACATGCTATGGCAAATTTAACAACATATATTACATAATATAAAACATTGATAGACAGCAGAGAACACTAGTATAATATTATGACATGAAAAATTATGAGACTAAATGAGAACGAATATTTCATACAGTTTTTACATAGTTACATAATTTGATAGTAAGAGACTCACTAGACGCTTGTAGTATATACAAAAGTTTGTGGTTATGAGACCAAGAACAATAATACTTTGGTAAAAATTATGTTCGTACAGATCTTTAATCTGAACAAACAAGAACAAAATGGTATTCATCTTCAATAACACACATTTTACAGCATTCACATAAATGATTTTCTCTCGGACTATTATTATAACGACCAACTTCAATATTTAACTTTAATGTTCCACTACGTAACTTTGTTAACAGATACACATTATTGTTATAAGTAAGATATTTTTCAATACAAAAAGTTAATTTAAATCTACTATAATTATCGAAAGACAGTTTACCACATTCTTAAACAATTGTTGGCCAATTCTACAAGTATTGATCTTTAATGCGAGTTTTAATATCATATATACAAATTGTGCTAGAATCTTGATATAATAAAATTGAGAATGGAAATGGGGAATGTGTCAAAGAGACAACAACCCGACCATAGAACAGACAACAGCAGAAGGTCACCAACAGGTCTTCAATGCAGCGAGAAATTCCCGCACCCGGAGGCGTCCTTCAGCTGGCCCCTAAACAAATATATATACTAGTTCAGTGATAATGAACGCCATACTAAACTCCAAATTGTACACAAGAAACTAAAATTAAAAATAATACAAGACTGACAAAGGCTAGAGGCTCCTGACTTGGGACAGGCGCAAAAATGCGGCGGGGTTAAACATGTTTATGAGATCTCAACCCTCCCCCTATACCTCTAGCCAATGTAGAAAAGTAAACGCATAACAATACGCACATTAAAATTCAGTTCAAGAGAAGTCCGAGTCTGATGTCAGAAGATGTAACCAAAGAAAATAAACAAAATGACAATAATACATAAATAACAACAGACTACTAGCAGTTAACTGACATGCCAGCTCCAGACTTCAATTAAACTGATTGAAAGATTATGTCTTCATCATATGAATATCAGGCACAATCCTTCCCGTTAGGGGTTTAGTATCATACCATCATAACATATATGAGAAGAACATAACCCGTGTCATGCCAACAACTGGTTTTTAAATAAATGTGTTAAGTGCCGATGCAAAGACCCTATAAGTGAATCAATATTAACGCCAAAATATGCAATCTTTAATGACCTGACAACAGTATCGTAACTATATCCCTTCTTAATAAGTCTATTTAAAGGTTTTGTTAGCTTCAGAGGTGAATACTGACATTTTTGTGCTTTATAAAGAATATTTCCATAAAAAATTGGATGTGAAATACCTGAACGTATAAGAAGTCTGCATGTTGAGCTATATTTACGAATGATGTCCTTATACCGATGATAAAATTTAGTAAATGTTTTGACTAGTTTGTGATATCGAAAACCCTGGTGTAATAATTTTTCAGTAATACATAATTTAACCCAAGATCATATAAGAAACACGTATATTTAAAGCCCAGTTAACATAACCATTGATAGCATTGTCATACAAGAGTTTATACGCATCGTATACAACTTTGGTTTATTTGTAATAACATGTAACCAATATTTCAATATTTTCTGTTTTCTAATAAAAAGAGGTAAATGGCCAAGTTCGCCATATAAAAAACATGTTGGTACATTTCTACCCAATTTTAACACAAATCTACAAAAACGGTTATGGATAAGTTTGATATCTTAAGCACGATGGAAACCCCATATTTGTGATGCATAGCCTAAGACGGATCCAACCATACTGTTCTTCTGGAGTAACAAAAAATTGTTTAAGAGAGTTCATTAGAAATGACATGGCTCTAGATCCTTGTTGTGCTAAACGTTTTTGAGTTTGTAAAAACTTTCCGTTGTAGTGTAATAATATACCAAGGTACACATATAAAAAATTAACAACTTTCAGTCCATTGTTATCATAGAAAAAATGAGTGTCTACTGGTCTAAATCCATTTCTAAATACCACTACTTTGGTTTTATCAATGTTTACCTCGATATTCCATTCATTGCAGTAAAGTAAAAGTTTATCAAATAAGTGTTGCAGAACAGTCGGCGATTTTCCAAATAAAACGGTATCGTCAGCAAAAAGAATTAGATAAATGAGAATTCCATTCAAAGATACGACATCTTCGTCTACATCAGTGGAGATAACTTTTGAAGATTAGTTTGTTTATAATCATGTGTACATGTCTGTTGATTGTTTATCTACCTGTTGTAGTTATAGAAATTCTGTATTTACAGGCACCAACAGTAGTACTAGTTGTACCGATTTACATCAGCAATGAGTGGCAATAAGTTGCCAACCACAAGCTTAAGGTAAATTTTACGTGTCGCAAAAACACCAGTAATGCCGACAAAGAAGACATGCAGCAATATCTAAAAAAGAACAGAGTTCCAATATCCCCTGCGTTGTAAATATTTTATCCATCCAAGGGCAATAAAAAAAAAAAAACTTCTTTTTTTTCTTTCTTTAAAACTTTTTACAAATATCTTAGAGAAATGAAGGCTTGAGAGCAAAAACAATGCAATTTCCAATATAATTGATATTTCCAAGGGGCATAAAAATATTTGATCGGTACTGATTTTCGAACTTGTCCGAGACATTGCTAATATACACTTTTGATATAAATTCGATCAAAATCTGCATGGCAAAAATTGTACACACGAGAGCGCTTACAATGCAATTTTCCATATAATTAATATATTCAAGGGGCATAACTCTTTTAGAAATATTTGATCGAAACTGATTTTTGAACTTGTCCGAGAATTGCTGATATTAACCTTTGACATACATTTGATAAAAATCTGGTAAGAAATGTTCACATGTGAGCGCTAGCAATATAATTGTGCATATAATTGTTATTTCCAAGGTGCATAACTCTTTTAAAAATAATTGATCGCCACGGTATTTCAAATTTGTCCAAGACATTTCTGATATAAACCTGGCAAGCATTGTACATGTGAGAGCACTAAAAGACTGGACGAACAGATGGACGGATGTACGGTATTTATATGTCCCCCGCAACGCGTCGCACGGGGGACAAAAAGCTGAAGAAGATATGATATGATTTCCAATGAGACAAATATCCATCAAAGACAAAATGACAAAGATGTGGCAAAATTGGATCACCGCATGGCCGTTAGCTTAGTTTAGGCTAGTAAACTTGATGTTTGGTTTGGTTTTGATTAATTTCGTTCATTGCGTTTTCTTTTCGTTTCTCATTTTAGCACGACCCCGTAATTTTGCCCTTAAAATCGAATTTTGTAATATCATAAGTAAAAAACCAATATTAACGATTTATAATGTGATTTTAAACCCCTTTTCTCCGTCTGCAGTTCGTTAACAAATTAACAACTTCAAAAGTATGACATTTAACCAGTTTTAGCAAGGTTTCCTGTTTGAGGCCTTTGTAAGACATACAACGAATTTCTTTCTAAGGTGCGATATAGACTTTTGTGCTGATGCAGCGTAAAGCAATCACCAATCATATATGTCCTTCGATCAACATAAAACTGTTATAAAAGGAGGAATATGGGTTAGATACACTCGCTAACAAAAAAAAATGGTGATCAACATCCGTCTATAACGTCATTATGACATCATATTGTGTCTTCTATAGCGACCCATTGTGAACCTACTCTTTTATGACAAACAGCAACCAACCACAACCACTGGATAACATGTAACTGGCCTGGTACAGACACACAAAGTATGTGGCGGGTTCAAAAAATGTTTCTGAGAGCTAATCCTGCCTCTAAACTTGGTCTATCAACACAAAATCTATAAAACTGAATGAAAAAATCTGTTGCAAATGGCTTGACATATTTAACCGATTCTAAGCAGCAAAACAAATAACAGATAGACGACAGACAAAAAGTTCCGATCTAAGAATACTTGCAGTTACTTAAAGCTACTTCAAAACCAAGTTTCAAATAAATAAACCATGTCCCAGACTGAACCAGGTCGATTAATTAATTAAGATAAAGTTTACATATAAGCAAGTCATGTTTCCAAATAGCAATGAATGCAACTCAACAAACCTTTTTAAGATACTATATTCAAGAAATTTAACCCAAAAAATAATTTTAAATATTTAGGAACTCTATTTTTGATAACGAAATGAGGTTTCCTGTTTTCATTTTAGGATTAGAAAAAAGGAAATACATGTCAAAGAATCGACCATACATAGTGAAGATTTAAGTCAGATTTTATGTAATCTTCAACGATCTTTAGCAGCTGATGAACACAGCTGCTTACCAGGTCTCGTATTAGCAGTAGTCGGTGACTCGGAGAGTTATGTTCCAAAACCATGGAATACAACAGCTTTTACATCTGGACTTTTGCAATCGATACAAGGAGTCAAAAGTATGGAAAATAAGTGTTTTCATTGATTTATTATATATCATCCATAGTCAATTATATTCTTCTATTTTAATAATTTTTAGCGAAATACTCATCGAAGATTAAAGGTATTTTATATTAGAGATCATTGATACGAAAACCGAACCAATTCACCGACAACGAATAAAATAAAGGTTTGTGTAAAATCAAATAAGTCCGTGAACACGTGTTTAATCCTTATAGTTCTTTTAATTTTGTTTATCCAACAAGCTCTGACTTTAAATAAATAACGTTAAAGTTATTGTATTATAGATGTAACTTAAATTCAAGCCAAATGTTATTTACTTTGGTCTCAAAAGTTGTTTGATATAAAAAAAAAATGCTTTAAATAACTCCTGGAACATCTTGGAAAAGATTTTTTGTAATGACTAATTGGTTGTACCAGTTGTTTTTTTTTCGATTTCCAATGGTAAATTCAGGACGTGGAAAAATTAATAATATATGCAAAATGTACGTTCTGCCTTACTACGGGCTACATACGGCGTTGTTACAAGGGTTTCTTTACGTACATACATGGCATGCGATATTTGATCAAATCTGTATTCAACAACAATGTATTTTGCAGAATAAAATTTTGACTTTATATGCGTAAATATTTTGTAAAATATTTAATGTTTATCATTAAGATTCTTAAGTGTTCATATTTCAACAGGTTTTAACAGTTTCATAATAAAATTTTGTTTGGTCCTGCGAGTGAAACTAATTCAGTCGAAACTTGTCTTTCCTCTTTTTGAATTAAAAATTTTGTCAAAATATAATACTGAGAATTGAACCCCGGGTCAAATTTTCCGATAGTATTTTGAACAAACCTATTGAAAATTAAATCGCCCTTTTTTTACTAAGTATTGGTAGAATGTCAAAAGTAAAGTACAATTATTGGCCTAAATATGGGGAGGGGAATCAATTTTCCATGGAAGTAAGATCAACATACCATTGGTCAGTGTGATATATATTCGAACATTTCTTACTTATTCCCGATTATAACTTGGTCTAGATAATGGAGTTTATATGGGTAGATGAATTATTTTTCATTGTAAAGGATGAAAATAAAATGGTTTAGAAAAAGTGTTATGAATTCTTTTCCAACATTACATGTTTTAAATTCCTCATACATTTTGAGTATTTTTGCTTAAAAAGCCTATCCTCAAAGATATTAGGCTTATAATGTTGTACGCCACACTGGCGTTTCGTCTACTTAAGACTCACCAGTGGCAGTTAAAGGTAGATAAATTATCTGAAACGCTTGCTTCTAAGAGGGGGGGGGGGGGGGGGTCAAATACTATGTCTAAGAAATTAAAGTGTTATAAAATCCTTTCCAACACATGCTTTTATTTTAGATGCTTATTGGAACATAACAACTAAATAATGTAGATTCGATAGCTATGATTAGTAATATTTGACATCTAAGAAAGTAATTTTACTATGGAAGGAGATCAAGATACCATGGTTCAGAAAAAGTGAAGTGATATCTTTTCCCAGCATATGTTTTTATTGCAGATACTAAGAAGCATTTAGATTAGATGATATAGTTAAAGGGTTAGACAATTTTAAACTTATTAAAGAGGGTGGTCAATTAACCATAGTATCACAGCTTAGAAGAAAGTGTTACAGTTGGAATCAGTTTTAATCTATCTTTTGAACTGTCAGAAGAATCTGTCATATAGTTCTAGAACAGATCTACCTCTATGGAATCCTAAACATATGCTAATCAATACATCAAATCATTTTTACCACAGTACGGTGTTTTACGATGACACATAAGCAAGTATTTGAAATCACGCTGGGGGAATTACAAAATATGTGCATCTAACTTTGTTGGCTAATTTTTAGACTAAATATTTATTCATGAAAGTGTTACTTAATTAAATGTTGCCACATACAAATGGAAAGTTCAGAATGGAAAAATTGACGCCATAATGTATTTTTAAACCTACCACTTACTGTCTGGTTAACAAAGTATATTCCGTTGGATCTATTACGATCCACACAGTCATTAAACTTTTTGCAATACCTTTTTTTTTTTTAAAAAAAGAGCAAAAAGATATATATATCAATCATATTATCATTATACGTTTTTGTTTGTACTTAGTCTAGCATTATGTTTGGTTACTTCTGTTGAAAATGCATTCCATTTGAAATGGTTTGGATAAGTTACATGACTCGGTAGTTCTATATAGTCGGTTCACGTAGTTAAACACAAATTTCCGCATTTAAAGTAGCAAAATTATATATTCAGCCTATAGTACCTTAATCAATACAAAAATACATATTGTATCAAAGAATAATTTTTAATTGCGATAAGAAAGCATTATCTATCATTGGGGATTCGCATGACATCCACCATTTTACTGTCACACATGCAAATTAAAATTAATTTTCAGAGAGTTGGATTATTTACCGTGGTAACAATGATGGTATAAGCGCATTGATTTATAACGCATTCAGAGAAACAACACACACTCAACCAGCATTAAGAAGAAGAGACAAGTCTATCGAAACGACTAACGAAAACACATTGATTGAAATAAGGCCATTGACAGAAAATGAAGAGGTACACATTTGATTATATATAACATTTACGACTCTTAGATTCTTCACTCACGGCGAAAAGCATGAAATCTTTTAATTCTTCGTTCAATAATATATATATATATGATAACTATATAATATAGATAACGGTAATCAATTTAACACCATAGTCAAATCTTTAAATATTGTTTTATCGGTACAAACATTGATTTTATTTTTGGAGAATTAAAACATGAATAAATATATATGTACACTTATGATTTTCCCTGGCCCTACATCCTGTCGATACTGTTTACTAATATTTTGTCGTTGCACAAGGTCATGTGTTTCTCAGACTGGTCTCTAAAAACTCCGCAAAGGATCTCTTGTGCACAAAGGAGCACAATGTAGCACAAAGGACCACAAAGGAGTGTAATTAGAGCACAAAGGACCTTTGATTGATTCTTTTGCAAGAAAATAATGTTATTTCTGAAGAAAAATGTAAAACAAATATCTAAAATAAACATGAATATATATAGTAATTAAATAGTCAGTAGGTCAGAAATGTCAATATACACTTTGATTTATCAAAATTTATTCTTGACAAAAACAAAATATCTATCAAAATTTTCTTAAATATGAATCTATGACGAAAATGTTTCACAAGACACAAAAAGGATCGGTATGGCAGTAATTCTTAAGCTATGAGATTGACAATGAATATTTTAATCCGTATTTCAGAAATGTACATCTGTACTATGTTTTATCAAATTTTATTCTCGACAAAAATAAGGTATCTACCGAAATTTTCTTACTAGACGAATCTTGAACTGCTATGACGAAAGAAAAGTACACACGGCGCAATAAAGAATGGACTGTACATACTGTCTTTTGTTTATTTCTGTCGTTGCCATTCATGGTTGTTTGTTGTTGACATATACCCATCATCTAAATTTCTTTTTTTTATTAGCCTGATAACTGAAAAATTACAAATTGAAATGAAAATTGGATATCAAAATTTTTTTATTATTATTTTAACAAGACTTAGTATTTTATGAAATTTACATTCTGTTATTTGTGTCTTAACATATTTCACACATAAATAAATAACCAAGTAAATATATAGATTGACAAAATCATAGCACATTTCGAAATGATAACTGTCGCAATTTAAAAGTGTTTTTTTTGTTCTATAAAAGAACTCGCTCATTTTATATTTCTTATAAAATTTTGAGTACAATGTTTTCAATTTTTCTCTTTTTACTTCAATAGACGATGTCTTTGATCACCCATTGTGTGGTCTATATTAATTTTGCATACGTCTGAAGTTTCCTTTTGTTTTATTTGCAAATATTGATTAAATAAAAATAATTGTATTTGAAACAGTTTTCTTTTTTTTAAAGACTGCTTTTTAACATTTCAGACTTTTACTGGTTTGTAGTGATAGCTTATTATATATGATATTATTATACCTTACATATATTTCAAACAATTCTATTGGGTAAAACGTTATCACGTGACATGGAAAAATTCAGTTAATTTTCATTCAGTTGCAAGGAAGAACGAATAACCCTAAAAATTTACACCAGCGTTGAATAACCCTATTATTCACCGGCGAATAACTTTTTTAGTTTGTTGATTTGTACTCATGAAAATGACGTCACAAACGTAAATAAACAAAATGGCAAAGTTCAAGTTACAAATTACATGTATTTTTGAACGTCAACTTGTGTTTGTTACTGACTCAAGTAAGGGTAAGTGCTTTTACAATGATTCAAAATGCCCTTCCACTGTTAGTTCGGTATAATAAAACAATTGTGGCCCCTTAGAAGCGATGAATATCAAAAATTGTCAACCCTTAAAAGTTATTTCACTTCGGGCTGAGCCCTCAGTGAAATAACCTTCTCGTGTTGACAATTTTGGATATTCACCTTTTCAACGGGCCATAATTGTATATTGTTTTTTTTTCTCATTGGGGAAGGTCGTACGATGACTTATAGTTGCATACATCCACGTCATTTGAACTCTGTTGGATAATTAACGTTGTCTTATTGGCAATCATACCACATTCCCTTAATTTTATAAAAATATCGTTAAAACTTCGGTAAACATATATCATGTATATCAAGTGTGTCAATCAGCAGCCAGATTTGACGAGATAATTTTCAATCATATTTTTGTTAAAGGCAGACGACGACAACGTCACAGAACCAGATTGGTTATTTACTCTTAAACCAGTTTTTGATGATTTACAAACACAAATGAAATACAGATGGTTCAACCGATATTTGTCTCATTTTTTGGAGAAACTTTCAGCAGAATATACCCCATTATTGTCAAAGGAAGAAGACGAGAAAGAATTGGGTGTGTCATATCGAAGACGTTTTTCTTTAAACTATACTCAGTGCATTTTGAAATGAAAAATTTAAAATATTAACATTAAGAAAAAACCAACCACTAAGGCAATGCAGTTAGTTCCGTTGATTACTTAAAGTGTTTCATTAATTTATTTTTCTTGATATATCAAACAAACATGAGTAATACACACAAAAGGATAACACGAATCGGGAAAAATATCGGAAATCGCAAAAAATCACATCGGCCATCAACATCCGACTTCCTAAAGAAAACCAACGAAGACAACAATCAAGAACAAGACATGATCCAGATAAGCCGACTTGGTACAGGTCGTGGTAGGGTAAAATCAGTTTTAGTTGCCCACAAAGCTCTACTCTTTTCAACTAGACCATATGTCATTAAATTACAACACTAAATAACAACCTGCACAGTCCAGTTACCAATAGGATGACCACTAACGTGACAATGAAATGAACAACGGCACATTTGGAAAGCAGCATCAAATATGCTCACTACTGGGGGATAGGCAAGGGCAGATACACAAGAAGGTCATGATAAGTGTCATGATTTTTGTAATAAAGGCCCTTAAGAATAAAGCAGTTCCAGGAAAACAAATAAAAGTCTGGTTTAATATCGATACAACAACACGTGATATGTTTGAAATTCATTTATAAATCAAGGTATAAAGTAACAATACGGAAATAAAATTTACTCTTATTTAAATTTCGTTTCTTCTGTGTCGCGTAAGAATTTAATTTCTCAATAACATTGTCTTTATTATGAACTCTGAAATTGCATTCACTTAGTATAATGTGGAAATGTACATTATAAAGACTTTGAATTTTGACTTTTAATCATGCTTATTTTATGTTTTCCTTTTTTCAATGTTTTAAAATTGTTAACAAACTTTATTACAAGTTCATTTAAAATTAAATGTAATTTCAGTTTTGATAAACATGAGAGTTCCTGTTTTGATGATTGCTGTAGAAGGTGACATAAGTACTATACACCAAATTAAGTCAGCTGTGAAACGCAACATTCCAGTTTTATTGGCGAAAGGTTCCGGAAAGGCAGTAGATTTTATCATTGAGTACTTAGAAGAGTCAAGACCCATGTTAGTTTTCATGTTTCATTAGCTATGCAATTGTTTTACAACTACAAATGAACGTGACGGTGTATGTTCTGTACACTTATGGCTTCCCAGCTTGCGTAAGATTTTTATTTTCCAAGCTTCATGTACAAAAGACCTTTGCATAACAAACACAACAGATATAAACAGCAACAGCATAAACGAAAAAAAAAAAACAAGCATGTTGCTTGTTAAGCTTAAACTATGCATATTATTGAAATTGCTGACCGCTTCATTCCCCCTCCCCAACAACCAAAATAGTACCAAATTATTAAAAATATCGGCGATAACTGACACAATCTTACAAATTAAACAATTGCGTTATTGCCAGCTATTTACCAATAAACACATTTTGAAAAAAAAATATAAATGAAGGATAGGTTACAAAATACGTTTTCGTTGCAATGTTGTTATTTTAAGTTTAAAAAAATAACGTTTCAGCAAATATGCGAGTGTTATACATGTATATTTTGTAATAAAAAGAACTGGTACACAGATAAACATAAGTATAAAATGGTTGGCTGTAGTCTGATTGCCAATGAGAACGCTTAGCACCAAGACCAGAAGACAATGTTTAAATGTTTAAAAGTTTAAGCTGACAGCATTTAACAGAATAATAATTATGACTGATATCAAGCTTCTGGTTTTGAATATGCACAGAATAAATTTAACGTGATTATAGATCCCCTAACATGGAACAATGGTGTAACAGAATAACATATGTCAAACGTTTAGGTGCGACAAACATTGGAACCAAATCAAACATTTTTGCAAATACTATAATTTCAGTTAAAAGATAAAAAATCTCTTGCAAGGAATGACAAAAATGGCCAAAGTGTTAGTTTGACAAAGTGACTACTTGAGAGAGCTATGACTGATTTAAAATATCAGTTTTGAAAAAAAAAAATTGGTGTTAAAAACAGGATGACATGAACTTAGGTTCGTCGGAGCCTATACATACATTACCAATCACATTATTTTAAAGGAATGATATACAGTTTGTCCGTCCAGCCATGCATGCGTTCGTCCGTCCCTCTGTTCGTTCGTCCTTCTGTCCAACTTTTGCAAACACAACTGTTCCTGTATGGCTTTGCAGAATTATCGGCACTGTGCACACAACCTTACTTATATAATGTATTTATTTCACATAAGCCTTATCTTCAAACTATAGTACACATATGAGTTTCTTCTATGTTTGAATCCACAACTCCTCCTTAACCTTTATAACAGTTTATTGAAACTTTCGCACAATTTGTACCATATACAATGGTATTGTGCACATCCTGTTTTGTTATTTGATCAGAACCCTTTTTGGGGTTTCACTTACAAAAAAAAGGTGTTTGCCATTGATTTATAGTGAGGAGTAGGTTAACTTTTATCATCTGCAACTCATACTAAACTCCTTATTACGATTTGTTGAAAATTCAATACAATCTTGACCATGTTATGCTATAGTGCAACTCTTATTTTGTTTATTGATCATAGTTTTTTTGGGTTTCCGTAACCAAGCATTTACTTTGTAATTGCTTTATTTAGGGTACCCATTTTGTATCCACCTATACCCCTTAAATATATTGAAACTTTCACACAGTTTAAAATGCTACTGTGTACCTTATATTTAGTACAAAAATTTCCCGTTCACTTTCTAAATCTCATTACAATTGGAGACAAACAGTTTGAAATTCAAAAATATTAAACGTTTGGAATCATTAAAACATCACTGTTAAATGAAACAGTCTTTTCAAGTGTCATTTTGCTACCTAAGCTGTAAATTGTCCATTACTACTCGTGAAATAGACAATCGGAAAACGAACAAAAATCGCATTTGTCAGATATCTTTGTTTTCGGTTGACTATTAACTTTAAATAAAGACTGTCCAAACTAAAAGAAACATTTTCGTACAATTTTCATTAACACAGACCAGTTAATACAACACTACAATTTACAAAAGTTGTAATATAATAAGGAGGCAATTGAAAATCGAGTCGAAAATGGCAGAAAAATAGCCGTTAAGACAAACAACAATCCAAATGTTTGTTTGTAACAGAATACCATTTACTGAGTTATATATGAACACAATAAAAACTAAATTGAATCCATTTCTGCCGGAGCAGTCAGTAGTGTCTGCTTCATTAATATTCCATTCGCGTTAACAGTGCATAAATACATCAACTGACCATAATACATACCCATCCTCTCTGACTGACTTCCTTTGTACGCCTTCGGCATTTCGTGCGTAACAACTGCAAAACCGCGCCTTATTTCATATATTAAATTGAAAATGCTCGCTTTCGTGCTCCATTTTTCCTATTTGAGTAAGATATACTTTATTTTCTCTTTCTAAGAAAGAAAGAAAAAGTACTGAAGGAAAACGCCCATCTGCTACTAGGTATTTATATGCGTGCAGAAGATTACAAAAGTTTAAAGAAGAGAATGATAAGCATTCAAAAGCACAGTCACCTGGTAAGTTAAATTAAAACAGATTGTTTTTTTTCTCAGTGGTAAGCAAAAAAAAAAACAAAACAAATAAACACAAACAAACATAAACCTATCAAAACACTGTCTCCCCTTTTATTCTTGTCATATGTCAAATATGGCGTTTGATATCAAAATATGATGATTTGACCCGCTATTGTGCAATTAAAATGATGTGGTAGCGGGTTTGCAAAAGTAAATTTATATAATCTAGCACAATCAAGTGCGATCGTTATTTGAAAAGTGTGATGTTATGAATATCTAAAGTGCTATGGTTATGCTACCGTAGCTGGTACGTAAAACTGCGATAGTCTTGCACTTGAAAGTACGATGACAATACTTGAAAGCACCATGAACAATGGCATTTCTTAACCTTATTGTCTCGAACAGTTATCCCTTTACAGGAAAAATACCAACATGTATCAAATAGAATCAACATAAATATGTCTATGCATCCACCGTAAGGGTAGTGCAGAATAAGATCAGACACAAATAAGGTCAAGGTAAAAATCATCACAATACCAGTTGCCATTGCAACCAATCGTTCTTTCGAGGAGCACTGCAGTTTGGCTTAATGAACAGCATTATACCATATCGTAAGTCGATATACCGAGAGATTGTGAATTGTCTGAAAAAAAACCCAAAGTATCGTCCTCCATCGAGAATGATTTTGAAAGAATGTCATCATATGCTCTTTAACGTCACACCGATAAACTACTATGCCTTAACTTACCATGTAAAGCAAACTGTGTAACACCACTAAAATTTTAAGCGTTTTTATGAATTGTTACCCCGATTTTTGCCTACTTTAATCCTGAACTTTTGCAACTGGGCATTCATATCCCACATTTATATATACATCTGCATTTATATTTTTCATGATACTATTGCACAAATTTGAAAATGATACATGTACAGTTACTAATCAAAGTTTGAAGCATGGTAACAAGTCTAATGCCTTTTATTCAAATGAGAACATTTGTTTTTTTCGCAGATTACAATTTTTGATTTAGACAATTCAAAAAATGACCAGATGGAAGATTTTGTAGTAAAAACTATCATTAAAGGATGGTCATTAAAGGAGATACACGGTGAGTTGTTTGTATATGGCCATATATAGATAGGATAACAATGCAAATAGTACATACATATTTTATTAATAACAACTATAACAAACAGTTTGATTGATTTTATTTCGTGTTGTTTTCGTGAAAGAGAAAATTAAATATATTTAAAGGTCATTAAAGATTGCATATTTTGGCTTTAATATTGATTCACTTATAGGGTCTTTGCATCGGAATTAAACACATTTATTCTAAAACCAGTAGTTGGCATGACACGGGTTATGTTCTTCTCATATATTTTATGACGGTATAATACTAAACCCCTAACAGGAGGGATTGTGCCTGATATTCATATGATGAAGACATAATCTTTCAATCAGTTTAATTGAGGTCTGGAGCTGGCATGTCAGTAACTGCTAGTAGTCTGTTGTTATTTATGTATTATTGTCATTTTGTTTATTTCTATTGTTTCCTATTCTGACATCGGACTCGGACTTCTCTTATACTGAGTTTTACTGTGCGTACTGTTGTGCGTTTGTTTTTACTACATTGGCTAGAGGTATAGGGGGAGGGTTGAGATCTCAATAAACATGTTTAACCCCGCCGCATTTTTGCGCCTGTCCCAAGTCAGGAGCCTCTGGCCTTTGTTAGTCTTGTATCATTTTTAATTTTAGTTTCCTGTGTATAATTTGGAGTTTAGTATGACGTCCATTATCACTGAACTAGTATACATATTTGTTTAGGGGCCAGCTGAAGGACGCCTCCGGGTGCGGGAGTTTCTCGCTGCATTGAAGACCCATTGGTGGCCTTCGGCTGTTGTCTGCTCTATTGTCGGGTCGTTTGTCTCTTTGACACATTCCCCATTTCCATTCTCAATTTTATTGTCCTACCTTAATTATTCATAATACATATACTTGTTATCATGTGTACTCGGCATCATTGATTAACTCGTATGCAATTCGATTGTATATGTTTGAGAGTATAAAACCGTTAAAGATACGAGACTTATATTTTTTTCATCTAAAAAAGACTCATCAGTGACGCTCGAATGAAAAAAAAGTTAAAATCTAAATGAAGTACGAAGTTGAAGAGCATTGAGGTCCACAAATTCAAAAAGGTTGTGCTAAATAGAGCTTTGATATTCTATTCCTGGGGTAGAATATCCGAAATAAATCCAACAAGTTTTTTAAACAGTTTATTTATAAATATGACAATATCAATGATAACACATGTCTATTCAGAAGTGCTGGTGAGTATATTCAGACCAATGGAAGAATTGATTACACTGCATAACCATGTTTACACATTTACGACGTCCTTATGTTTCAATGCTGAGGGCCTGGCTATCTTTTCAAACACAATCACCTTGCAAGCGTATAACATTGCAAACAAAAAATAAAATATTATATACTAATATACTGTGTATATCTTTCTTTTGATCAACATAATCATGATGACTATCGTTTCATTATTTTTTTTTCTCACTGTATTTTATATTCGTTATAATCATTGTTTTGCGTAATATCATAACTATCCTGACTATAACAAAGAGTAGAATAACAAAAATACCGAACTCAAATGAAATTCATGGATGAATGCCGTACCTGTAGTTATTAACTTCTACGTCATTTGGTCTCTGGTTGAGAGTTATCTCATTGAAAATCATACTTCGTCCTCTTTTTTTATATTTTGAGATATTTATACATGACCACCATTACTTTATATTTACAATATTGTCATAATGAATTACTGAAAAGTAAAATAACAAAAATACCGAGGTCGAAGGAAAATTCAAAACGGAAAGTCCCTCATCAAATGGCAAAATAAAAAGCTCATTCAAATCAAACAAATGGAAACAACTTTCATATTCCTTACTTGGTACAGGCATTTCCTTATGTAGAAAATGGTGGATAAAACCAGGTTGTATAGCAATCTAAGCTCTCACTTGTATGACAGTCATATAGAATTCCATTATATTGACAACAATGTGTGAGCACAACAAACAGACATAATAGGTGAAAATGTAAAAAAAAATGGGTACAGCAGTCAATACAATGACTACATTCGAGTAAATTAGATGTTTTGTTTTAACATAAAAGAAGAAAGAATACTTTTTTTTGATACAACATTAAAGATAATCGTAAGACCTTCATGGTTTGGACCATCGCAGGCCAGCTTTGATTTACAGCCTTGGACAAATCAAAGGATAGTCATAAAACAGTCCTTTAGTATGTCATAAATACATTGACTGTCCCTCTGGTATCATTCGTCCCTCTTTTACCTCAGTATACTTTCAAAAACCAGTCCCTGGATTCTGGCTACCTCACGTAGTCCAGTTTTGGTACTATATTCAAGAGGGATAACACGGTAATTAATTTAATTGTTCATTTTTTTAAATACTGTTGAACACCATTGATAAGTAAATACCAAATTAATAACGTTCCAATCTAAACTGACTGCTGTACCGAACTTAAGTCAATATTATGATAATTGGATTGGCCATCTTCATATATTAATGACCAGTATGTCCTCACACATTTGATTGTTTAATATCAATAACCATATACCGTGTCAATAAATGTATTAGACCGTCTCCCCGCTGGTGCAAATTTACTTACACTCTGACAGCATTACTTTTATTAAATACTATTATTGTAGATTCAACTGATGATCCAAACGATAAAGGGAAAAGTTCAGCAAGAACAGTTACAATGAACAACGTGGAGACAGAACGTAGGATAATTATGATCTTTATTTAATTTTTATCTGGTGTTTGTAAAACAATTTACTGTGGATTCATTAGTTTTCGTGGATAACAATTTTCGTGGATTGAAGATTTGAGAACAAATTTATTTTCGCGAATATTTGATTTCGTGGAGGCCGAAGTTTACATACAAGCTTAAAGAAAATGTGTACATCGTTGAGCATTTAAATTCGTGATTAACGTATACTCGCAAAATCCACAAAAATCAGTAGCTAACGAATGATAATGAAATCCACAGTAAGATGTAACATTCCCGATGTGAAAGGACATTCAAAATGAATAACACTTGAAATAAAATAAAGCCACGAAAATTGTTTTGTCTGTATTTATGTGGTCAAAGAACTCAAAGAATACTATACAGCTACCAATTTCATTTCTTTATTGCAAAGTACTCCCAATACTGTACAGCTACCAATGTCGTTTCATTCTTGCAAAGTACTCCCTTTACAGTACTACTACTAATGTCGTTTCTTTATTTTAATGTTTTTGTGCCTTACAATATTAAGTTGTAAAGCCAAGTCAAATTAATATATAAACTTTGATATACTATAATTATACTTTTCGTTAACTGCACAAAAGCGCTACAACAGAGGTAAATTAATTACAGAGATATTTCGAATATTTCGTGTAGAAATATAGATTCTACCACTGCATCGAGTGTGATACGATATTTATCCACTCGAGACAGTTAAATTTTCAAATTTAAAACGCGAGGCTCGCCGAGCGTTTTAAATATTTAAAATTTAACTGTCGAGAGTGGATAAATATCGTATTACACGAGATTTGGTGGTGGAATCTGTTTCTCTAATGATTTTCAAACAATACGCAGGCAAATTTATTCCTTCTTTTCGAATGATCTGCAAAAAGATGTGTTCTTTCTATGTGACGTCATCAGGCATGGTCGCCTTTTTTCATGCCGTCACAATAGGAGATTCAGAGGAAAGCAAGAAAATTCGACGTCATAATCGGATTTTAACCAATGAAGAACTGAGATCAAACAAACCACACGTTGATTAAATTTTTTTTATACAATGGGTGCAGAAAGGGATAAATTGACGAAGAATTAGAGAAACCATATTATCATTACCTGTCAGATTTTTATACCGAATAATTAAAGTCTTACATTTTATTATTGCACTAAAATTAGATTGCAACATCCTTCGTTCCTGTATCGTAAAAGTGTTTTGCTTTCCTGTTTATATTCATATTTTTTTGTCTTTGCGCTCAAACATTTAAAGTGTTGGGTCTTTGAATGATTTTGTCATCAAAATAAGCGAGAAAGAAATGTGTTGCTACAAGAACGACATTGTTTAAGTGTGGAAATCGGTTCCATATTAAAAATTTTACAACAAAAAAGATAAATGTAATCCTTCAGATTTCAATAAACAGATGAAACGTCCATGAGAACGTAATATATAATTCTTAGGATAATGAAAATATAAATAAAACCAAGAGTTATTAATAAATTGATAGTTTTAGATGTATCTATAGATTGCAATAAACAATTAATTTCCCCATAGGCGACAATGATAGCCTTTTTCGAGATACAGACTTTAGAAAGTTGATTTTTTTAACGAAACCTTGCTAGAATTAGTGAAAAAATTATTTGGACAGTATTTTTTGGTCCCAAAAATATAGGTTCCCGTGGCTTTTTTACCGTTATTTGTACTTATCTTCCTTGTCTATCATTTTTGCACTTAAAAACACGTGTCTCATCCTATCGTTGAAAAGACATCTCAGTTCCGTTAGGGCTACGGAAAATATATTATTTTGCATTTGGTATAATGCAGAGTGCACGAAGTCTCTAATAATAAAAAATAACGGGTGCACATATCGACCAATCAGGATTAGCCATACTCTCAATTCTGAATACAATTTTATCTTCATAAAATGGCTGCGCCCATAAATTCTACTGGTTTATTGTAACCTGTAAGGGAAAACCTCAACTTGTGAATTTGTAACCTATACTTGCAATTGTTTACTGGTCTATAATACGCTACGTCTATTTCAGAGCAGTCATTATTCTGTTAAAAGAGTATCAATAGGAAATTGAAAGTTCTTGTATCTAGGAACTTTATAAGAAAGGCCTCCTTTAACTTTTTCCTGTTTTTGCATAATCAAAAATAATCAAAAGACTGCAGTTATTTTTTACAGGAACATTTGATTGCTTGATGGAACATTTCCATGTAACGCCTGGTTCACTGTCACTTTTCTTCTACATTGCATATCAATACATACTAGAAAGCTGTGAAATAAAGAACAAGAAAAAGGTATACAGTGTGTACACGAGAACCTGTTTTTTGTATTAAACATATAATGCTTCGGCAATTGATTAATAACTTGATTTTGTATTCTAAAAATACATTAAAACAAATTTGTCAATAAATCAAATAATTTCATATTTGAAAACACACACAGTTTATTCAGAATATAAAAAAAATAGTTGAAATACTAAAATGCAATTGCCTATCCTTAATCAAATGAAAAATATAACAAAGATTTATAAGCTTGAAACATTTCTCACGTTTTGCGCGATTTTACTTACATAAGCTTTTAATTTCTTTACAAAACGTTGTTTGGTAGTATGCATAACGCCACATCAACATAAAGTCATTATGTCGTTGTCCCAGTCCAATAAACGATGTACGAACCTGTCAATGTGCAGAATAAATGACAATTATGATTGTCAAAATGTAATGTACGAATTCTAGTTTTCACGGCACATGGAAATGGACAAAGCAAAGGGGAAATCAAATATCTGACGTAACCCTCGAATTGTGCGCATTTTATAGGGGAATGCATACACTAAAGGAACAGAAATGGATGAGATAAGATTATATATCAATCTCTTTGAAAATTCAAACTTTGATATGGAATGATATTTCCCGGCTCAGCACGCGGTATGTAGGAGTAGGAGCTAAGATTTGCTGGCTGGTAGTCAGAACATATCTGAGTTGTTCAACATGTCTTTCCATGGACTGTATTCTTTTTGTAAGTAGGTCAGTTTAATGCAACGCATTTAGTTTTGCTTTTTACTTGCCAAGATTTATTTCATTTATCATACAAACGAATACTGCAGATACAATTAAGTCTGCTTCATATCTTGACTTTTTAGAAATTGACAACGAAAGTCGCCATACAAAATGACACCCTTTTCTATTTTGAACCTCTGTTTATAACATGAAACATACATATTTAGTATACAAAGTCCCATTTGTAACGAAATTTACTGGCTTGTGTTTACAGTCATGAGTTTATTTGTTGCTTGATTTTACGTCCTGTAGCAAATATTTGATGTTTTTTCAGGACGAAAACATATTAACAGGAACTACAAAAGCTAGGTCCTGCATGTCATCTTTTAGAAATGTTTACAAATGTAACAATGTCCGTGGTAAGTGAAGGGTGTTACATTTGGAGCAGGATCTACTAACCCTTCCGTAGCACCTCATTTTTCCCTCCGGTTTTTGATGGGATTCATGTTGTTGACTCTTTAGTTTCTAAGTAGTGTTCTGAAGAATGTTGTATGTCTTTTTGATATATGCCATGACTTTGTCGATCTCTTCTTATAAGTTTTGATCGTTTTATTGGTGTCTTTCGCTTCTTCTTTTTTAAATGCAATGTTCATTAGACTATAATGTTGTCTTTTCGCTTTTGTTTTTGGTCAAGGTACTCTCTGTGTCGACCTGTGGTTTGTAGATATCAATTTGGTATCTTCTACTTTATGATAACAAGAAGTAAGCGCTTCCAATGTCCGTTAAAATTTTAATTTTTGATATTGTCAATAGTTCTTGAAGTAAAATTACTGTAAGTAGTATGTTTAGCGTGGGCTTGGAATTTGTGTTTCAATATAATAGATAATATTTGCCGAGTTTTATCTCGGTCTTTGGTCTTGGTTCAAGGAAACTGATTATGTCTGTGTGATCATCAGAGAAATGACAAAACGGGGGTACATAATGCCAAACACTGATTATTAACTTCTCTTAATTTTGAAAATTGATACTTATTTTTGTTTGTTTGATAGGAATTAGAATTATTCCTGCTGGAGGCAATAATTTCCAGCAGAGTAGACTATGTATCTGCTCTAGTTCAACATGGGGTGAAGTTTAATATAAACTACATAGGACGACTATTTGATGAGGTAAGCAAAAAATACTATTCAGAGAAAAAATCAAATGTTACAGTCAGATATATTCCCAATTTATATAGCACAGTAAAATGGTTTAATCGAAAGAAAAAAAAACATAATAGATAACTGTTCTGATTTTTCAATATTTATCACCACGCAAGTCCACTTTCATGCGGTGATTGTATCGATATCAATCACAAAAATATGTTGATCTATAATTGCTTATATCCACGTCCATCAATCTCTTGTGGATAGTTGTCTCAGTGAAAATCATACGTAATTAAGAGCAAAATCATCCCTATTTAGTTGTCGTCTGTTTGACATGTTTGACCAGAGTTGATGTTTTCAAGACATTTTTCATGCCTTGTGTGGCAGTTTTTTGTTATACACGAACCTTTTAATTTTTGATCCAGTGATGAAAATGAAACACTGCACAACTTAATCCTTATAGTGTGGTGATTAATAGGCAAAAAAAAAAAGTCGTCTAAATTTAAGTTCATTTGCATTTCCGGACCTAATAGTTCATAAATTTCTAACTGATGTAATTCAATAGTACACTTCTTCTTTCATACTTTGAAATACCTTGCATAATTGATTAAGTAACGAAGACATGATGTAAACTCTTTTTGAAAGGTTAACATGAGGCTTTTTGCTTGAGCTTGTATGTCCTTTTCAGTAATAGATTGCATTTAGCAATATAATTTCCTTCTGAAAAAACGAGTTTTTAACTTTATTCTTCCAAATATATTGAGAATATCATTGCTTTTTCAATATCACACTAATATAATCACAAGAGCTCTGCTCGAGGGATTATATTGGGTGAGGGTTGATTTGCGTTTAATATTGAAAAAGTCATATCATGTACACTCTTTGAAAACAATAGGAGCATAAAATGAATAAGATAATTTTGTCTCTGATGATTTCTCCAATCTTTCAAGTGTAACACTAGTTCGGTCTAAACGGGTCATTTTGATCTGAACAGCTCTTAAAAGACAGAAAAATAAATCACTAAGTCATTTCAGTCTTTGAGTCACTTTTCAGACTCGTCCACTGCGGTATTTTGGTGCTGTTCAAACTATTTGCTTGCAGAATTGAATTGACTGCAATCAAATTGTATGAACAGTACTCAATTTAACGCTGTGGATAAGTCTGAAAATTGAACGAAAGACTGCATATGACTGAATAGTTTATTGTTCAGACTTGTTAGATGATGTGAAGATCAAAATGAATTAAATTCATTTACTAGTGTAATAAAGTCATAATGTGATAGGATAACAATGACGCTGTTGCCAACAAAACTACCAGTAACGTTACGTCAAAACTTACGTTCCTTTTTGAGTTTACAATAAGTTCCCTCATGAAGTTTGCAGGTCGTAAAACTGTCGAAGGAGTGACTTCAATTTTACCACTTAGAACCCTTTGATCAATAGCTTCTTTGGAATGAATTGTACATACTGTGAAAGTTCTTTTATTCGTGGGGAACCAATTTTCACGGATGACTTAATCCACGAAATTAAGTGCCCATCGAAATATAACAACTGTTGTTCAAATCAAGACATGGAAAGATCCCCATGTAGGTTTGACTACCGAAATGATCTAGAGAATACATTGAATATCGGCAAATGCACTATGAACTACAACTACAGGCAGGATTATACCAATTTAATCTTTAAAAACCCAAACTGTACGACTTTTGATCTTTTAATTTGATCGATGAAAGTCAGATTTCCGGTTATGATATGCTATGATAAAGTATTAATTTTATATCCTCATAATATTCTCATACGGAAAATAATAATTTCATGTTGGGCATGCTTTTGATAAGAATTAATTTTACAATTCAAGGTACATTTATAGCATTTGTTTATGTAACTGTTCTCTTTAAGTGACATGTTTATGGCCTAATTAACACCTTTGATGTTCTTTAATCTGTTGATCCCTCGATCCTGGGTTAATTAGTGTCATCACTGCGATTTACACGTGTGCAACAATTTAAAATTTAAATGTTTACTTTGCAATTTCCTTCAATCGAGACAATTTGTAAGCATAGATGAATCAGCTTGTTTCCGAACTCAATTATTTTATTTCAAATTTGTTGAATGTTTTTAAAGACCAACTAATAAGTGAAAATGAACATCTTATTTTCCAATGTCTACAAATCATTATAAAACAACATATGGTTATCATAAATAATCTTCGTTTCTGATGGCTTCAATTCTTCACTCTATTTGTTGTTGTTTTTTAGAAAACTAAAAATCCACGAATTTAAAAACCCACGAACATGTAACTTTTGTTCAAACCACGAAAATTGATACCAACGAATTAAAGTACTTTCACAGTATATCTATATAGTGGTACCTGAAGTTAAAGGATAGTGCTAGCTACTTTTCATTCTTTACTTAATTGAAAGAATTGTACAACCCCTCTTCTTGCCGACTTGATCGTTCGTTCATATTAAACAGACTTCATACATGAGCTTCTCAGTAACATGAAAAGTAGCTAGCACTATCCTTTAACTTCAGGTACCACAATATAGATATATGCACCTGCATAAGGAGTATATATCTCCCAGTTGATAATACATCTTTCACGATTTCCTTGATAGAATGATGCTTACAAAGATTGATTCAAGGGTTTCAAGTGGTGAAATTGAAGTCACTCCTTCGATAAATTTATTTAACGGATGCCATCACGCGTTTGTTAACCGTTGTGGAATATCTGTGTCACAGATGACCATGATTATGTTCTATTTGTTGTATCTACAATCCCTTCTCTTTTCATCGATTATGACGTCATCGAATGAGACAAATTGCCGGTTTTGTACTTGCAGGAGCAACACGACAGATGCAGCATGGGAGCATGCACTGCTTACCCTTCCGGAGAATTTAAGTTCAATACCGGTTTTGGTTGGGTTCGAGCCGCTAAATCTTTAGTTTTCCCTGTAGTGTTTTGGGATTTTTTCGTCTCTAGTTCATTGTCGGGTTTTTCCATGGCCTTTTTTAGATTTTGTTTGACTTATGAGTTTTGAATGTCCTCTTATTTATCAGATAATGATCACCAAGAACGTACGGTTATATTCATTCAATTTCACAAAATTATAATACCAATCTGTATAACAATAAAACCGAAAATAAAACCCCTTTTGTAAAAATGCTTTATTTAGATTAAAAACATATATTATTACTGTATTATCATGTCTTTAAGATATATATATATATATATAAACAAGTCTAAATTGAAAACAACATTCAAACCTATGATTGCGTTGGATAAAAACCGCAATTTTTATACGTGTGCATGCAAAACAAATTTCTTGTTAGAGGTATATATATATATATAACTTAATATATATATTTATATATATTATCATATAATTGATTTATTGGGAAAACGTAAATTATTTGTAGAGGCATAAATTTACCACTGAATATTGTCTTCTGATATATTTGCAGACATTAAAATGTAACAATTGTGATGCCAGAGACTGTAGGAGGATTCATGCAATACATTTTGTAAGATATCAGAAAGTGAAATAAATTACAAACTCATTTCATTCTTACATAGTAGTTTTTTAAAGTTTTATTTGCAATATTGTTGGGGATTACCAATGTATTAATTACTGAAAGAGCTCTGATTTTAGTAAGATGACCATTTCCAACTGAGAACATACATGCAGTATTTAAAGAGAATAACTATCGAACTTATTATACTTACGACTATATGCACAGGTCTCCTTTTTCTATAATTTATCTAATAAAATTTTTCCTTTTCGCTTCAGATCATTTATGTCTTTCTTTATTATGACATTATATTGTAGATGGTAGGCGTTTGACTCTCAAAGAGATTTTGTGGATATTTTAAAAAAAAGCTGCCAATATGTGGCTTGTTCTCATATATCTTCTTCGAATATGAAAAAAAGAAGGATTTTATATCGATTTATATATATTTGAGGTACAAAAATAAAATATAAGACGAAGTATAATGCATGATAAGCCAACATGTAGTTCCCTTGAAAACCAAATGGAATGATACAATTACCAGATTATCATATAGATAAAACATTTGTGAAAGGATATTGGTATTTTTCATTATGTTGGAAATATTCATATGTTGATGCAGACAACTTTAGAAAAAAATAAAAAATAAACGAAAACTTTAAAAAACCTAATGTTTAGGTATTGCCATTACGACTTAAAATGAGACATGCTTTGCAAATTCAGGGACAATATAATACCTATCATGATACCTTCCTTAAAACAATACGAAATGACAGTTCAGAAAAGTTGATTAAACGGACTGACTGTTCGTCCTTCTACAAGTTACATTAAACCAAAATTATGGTCAGATTTACTGTTGTATCGTGAGAAAAAAAGTCTTTTATTTAGGAAATGGTTTTAATCCTCAATAATCATAAAGGAAAAAGAAAGAAAACAAGAAGCAAAATATTTTAAAAACAACAAGATTACTACGCTGTAGCAATATGTCCCCACCGCTGTATTGATTTGGAATTAAATTGTGAGTCTTACTGTGTCATCGTGGTAACATAGTCAAAATATAGTAAGGGTTCCTAAACGCATTACAAATGGCCATATCCAAATGACGGTACAAGGTGGCCAACAACAACTGATAACAAAAAAATCTACTAAATAAGAGAGCTTTCTGTCAAATAGTGTCAGAGGAGTTGAATTCCAAAAATGTACATATGGTACAAAAGTTAAAAAGTCAACGTCCCATAACTTCTGTAAAGATTATCAAATCAAAATGAGGGTATAGAACGGGCAATTACTCTTGAGGACAAGCCATTGATTTGCGTTCACAAGGTGTCACTGTTACAAAAATCCAAAAAATAGCCAAAGTCACATGATAGCAGACAATCCTGCCAAGTGTGAGAGCTGTCTTTAAAATTGCGTTCACAAGATGTTATTGTTACAATACTCCAAATGGTAAAAATCGCATAACTCCCTTACAAATGGTGAATTGAAAATGGCGGTACTCATGATGGCAAACAATAGAACAAAGATTGGGAGCTTTTAGTCATATGATATTAGAAGAGTTGCATTAAGACGGTTTATAATACTCTAAAAAATGGTCAAAATCCAAAAACTCAAACCTCCCGAAAATATTGAAAAATCAAAATGGCAGTACCATATAGACAACTGCACATGATAGCAAACAATCCTTTCATGTATGTTAACTCTCTGCACAAAGAACTCAAGAGAGTTGCGTTCACTATGTGAAATTGATTCGATACTCTCAATTATGGTCAGAGTACCATAAATCGCCTTAAAATTATCACTTTAAATCAACGATTTAAAAATGATTTATCAAGAATGCCAACAAAACAAAATACATTGGATCTTCTCGTTTGTAATTTTTTTTCGTAAAGGTTTCTCCTTTTATTAATAGACTTATTATTTTTGATTGCCGCCATGTTATCTTATTTCTCATTTTAAGCAGTATTAGGTTGAAAGAAAAATCCACAGGAAATAAAACAGATTGGTCTTCATATAATATAGAATACTAATTTGCATTTGCAAGAGAAAAAAAAATATGTTTTACAGATTTTGATTTTCTTTTTAGCGAGTGTCTACAAAATGCTGCTATGGTGTATGGTGCACTTGCAATGAACAATGCAAAAAGCATCGACTAAAATGTGGCGTATCAGAATGTGAGGTATATCATTATGTGTGCGACCTTGAAAGTAAGAATGGAGAACAGACCCTTACATGTTGCAGCACCAGAAATATTCAGAATTATTGCAGATGCAGTCGACATCGAGTTACTGGTATTAACGGAATATGTCACAAACTGCATGATTTACTACATAACGTCCGTAACATTTGCCAAGAACTTTTGCATTATCCAAAAGGTATATTTACCCTCAATAAAGGCCAATTACATAGAACCTTATAACACAAATGTGTAGGATATAGATTCATTAATTGAGAAGAGGAAATATGAGCCATATATAAATCTGAACAATCCACAATCTGGTAGCAGACGGATCAATCAAACATTACACCATGCGTACTGATTCAGTGTTATAACTTTTTACAATAAAAGACGACGTAAATGCCTTAATATTAAAACGCCTGCAACATCATAAAGTGGATTGCATAACATTTTTTTCTACCCTTGACGAAGAAGTCCCATGTTATCTACATAAAGATCAGAGGGTGTTTAAATAACAAGCAGCATATTACGTTTTTTTAGTCGAAAAATATATTAAATTAACAAAGATTGCTTTCTGATTGCTAAACTTTTTCATTGGATATGGGGCGTTTTGGCCAGTTTGGGGAGGGGGGGGGGGGGGGGTAAAAGGATACTTTTTCTTATTCCGACATGCTTCTGTAACATTATGGCACCGTCGCCTGTATTATAATAAGCGGTATAGACTACTCAACCAACTAGGATATACTAAGATATATGTTCGTTAGTCGAATTATGCCTTTCCTCGTAGGCTCTATCTAGAGTTGTTACACAGTACATTATGTGTTGTGGCATGTAGATGGCACACCTTGCATGTCGGCTTGAATGATTATGCTTTACATTTAGTCCCGCCTATATGATTTTATTATATACGTCATAATATGTGACAAGTTTATCACCAACATTTTCTATCGGATAATCTAGGGTTATGAAGGGCTGTAATTCCAATTCACGAAAACTTTGAAAATTATTCTTTTTCCTTTCTTTGTTTTTCTTTAATGCAGATATTTCGATCAAATTAGAAAGAGAAAATGATATCTAAAGGACAATTGTAAGATGCATTAATTAATTAAGGATTCGTTTGGCAAAAAAGTGTTGTTACAAGAAAGGGAGATTGATATCACGAGGACGAGTTTTAAGATGTTTAGATTGGTAAAGGACTGTTTTGTTTTCATATAATGACCTCTATTAAAATGATATTCATATGCAATCCCATTCCCGTCAAGAAAATATTTTATAGACTTACCAAAATTTATGCCAGGGAATACTCAATTTGAAATCGAATGTGTGTTTAAACGGGTCGCAAACCTTACTGTCTTGTTATTGGTAATCTATCAAGATTTGAAGTCAAATGATTAAAATATATGTGTTAAAAAGAATTTTGTAGCCATCGAGAGAGATGATATATTTTACCGGGGGTGAGAACAAACAAAAAATCATATTTCGAAGAAAACAGACTATACAATAGTCAAAAGCCGCTTATTTTCGCCTGCATTTTTTGTTTATGCATGAGACATCAACCACAACCTAAACCACAATCGATCTGAAAGTAATCATTTTGCACTAGTAAATCATAAAACATAATCATATCTGCAGCAATATTAAGAAAAAAAAAAGAATTCATATGCCAGTTACTATAGATCAGGAATCGTTCTTTTTAAAGAAATTGATTTTAAAATGTATGTTACAAATTATTAAGAAACTAAGGTTCAAACTCCCTCATGTAAATTTGATCGTAGATGAATTATACTTCAATTGTATCTTCAATCAAAATTTCAGCCTCTAATTTTTGCCTAAAATATGTTTATTAATTCTACTTCTTTCATAACATATCGTCTTTATATACGTTTATGTATAGATGCTGTAGGCACAACTGAAGAACAAGCACAGAAACGATGTTCAGTTGTACCAATCTGCCGTGGGTTCAGTAGAAAGAAGACGAGTGGTAGTATACTATATCTTTATTTTTACTACAATTACTACAAAAATATAGATCCACATTTTTAGATAACGAAGTTTTGATTTTTTTAATACTAATTTTAATAGAAAATAGTTACATTTTCACTCTACATAGGTCTTAGCTAAATATTATCAACTTCAATGTTCGTCTGGTAAATGAACAAAAGGCAATGGTGTAATCATGTCATTTGCTTTAAGAACCGAATTTAAAATTGCAAATAGTTTTAAAACTTTTTCCTTTTGTTTACAATAAGACCACAACGACCTGTATCATGTTCTGTTAGCATGGGCGATATTTGCACAGAAGGAGGAATTGGCTTCAATTTTTTGGGCAAAATGTGAAAACCCATTACGTAAGTATGCCACTACGGATATTTAATTTTTATAGGTTTGTAGATAATTATAATGATGATGCAAAAATATTGTTAATTAAGAAAACATCAGTAAAAAAACATCGGCTGCTTTATTTTTCACGTATATTATCTAAGTTGACGAATATACAAAGGGTCACCTAACTGGTTAAATGTACAATATCTACCTTACCCTGCAACCCCCACCCCCTTCCAAAAGAGAAAGAAACACCATAGATTGATTTTATATCGATTGATTTGTAGTTTGCGCTTGTGTTCATGAAGCTTTTCGAATCTTATTATCCCTTTTTAGCTTTATCATTGTTGAACAAATACCATTGCCACAGATATTTTAATTTAAGCAACATTAGTTAAACGATGTTCAATGCCTATAAACCGATTAAGAAGATATAAAGGCAAATGTATCATACATTAACTGAGGGAATCGCATAACCTCCAAAAACAATGAGACATGATACGACGACAAGCAAGTGTCTACTGCAATGCATCAATGACCCAACTTTCAAATAAACACCCAGTCAAATGCAACAATCGGGAATAAGAAAAATCGTTTCAAAACAGATTAGACAGAAATTCTGGTATGTGACAAAATATGTAAAATCGGTTCTTCTCCCATGTAATCTAACATTAAAAGACGATGCAAACTTTCCGTTTTGATATTGGACACAAAAACTTCACAGAGAATAAGATAATCCTCAGTATGTTCTACTTAACAAGATGCAGAGCCCTTTATATCAAATTCTTCAATCCATGATTTTGAAAACAAACGCCATATCACTGATGGTTGCAATTGAAGTCTACGCAAAAATATCTAAAAATGGTACTTTTATCTCAATGGTATAGGATAAATAGTAAAATAACAAAATAACAAAAATACCGAACTCCAAGGAAAATTCAAAACGCAAAATCCTTTATCAAATGGCAAAATAAAAGCTCAAACACATCAAACGAGTGTAAAACAACTGTCATATTCCTGACTTGGTACAGGCAATGATGGAGTAAACATAGTTTTATAGCTAGCTAAACCTCTCACAGACATTATATGTAAAAATGTCAAAAATTGGGGTACAGCAGTCAACACTGTGATACAATCTTAATCACTATAAGAACAACTAACTATTTCAACAAAGAAAAACAAAATCGCGTATAGACACTCTATAGACAAAGTACATAAACCCCAGTCTAACTAGACCAAGACCATGAAGATCCCACTACGATCTATAAAGAAAATGAGATCGCGGTGAGATCGTGGTATAGTCGGCTTGAATATTCAATATTTCAAAGTTTTCACCTGCATACCACGACCTTGAAATGATCCTGAAAAGATCCTGCCACGATTCCGCTACGATAGAAACACGTTCTAGTTACGATCTTGTCATTCTCCTGCTACGTGTAATAACCCTTACCACGACTTACACGATCACTATACGCTTCTACCAAGACTTTACCGATCGTATTACGATCTTAATATGAGTCTACTACGATCGAACCACGACTCCACTTAGTTTCCACTACGTTGTCACTGCGCTCTTTGTCCCTAAAATTTCTTGACTTCCTCATTGTACACACCAGTTGAACTAGAATGTAGACGTTTTTTTTATAGCAACAGAATGTGGTCATGCAATTATGGTGGCTAGGAGGTAGTAGTTTCGTAGAAAGGACGGCAAGCATGTAGTAGCAGCTTACTATTGTCTTCCGCATCGTATACGTAGTATAATCGTTTCAATATCGTAGTATAAGCGTAATAAAGACGTAGTGAAATCGGGATAGTCCCACTGAAATCATAGTAAGGTCGCATCGAAATCTTTTGCATTGGCTTCCGATTGCACCACGTTCCCAATACGTTTCCAATACGATGCTTCTACGCCAATCCAGATCTAACTGCGTCCTTACTACGACCTTCCTACGCTTCTACTACGACTAGATTTTGCCACGACTGCACTACGAATGTTTTGAGCATGTTTAAACTTGGTCGTTCACCTCCACGTTCATGAAGACCTTGGCACGTCCTTACCACGACCCCCATGATATTACTACGACTTCTAAATTTTTTTTATAATTTCTGAGGTCGTAGCGGGATTGTGATCCTAGTGTGATTGGGGGTATAAGCAAAAATAAAAGACAAGAATACAAAAATAACACAATAGCGGGATGTATAATTACCGAGCCACGCCAAAAGTATATTACCAAAAATTGACTTAACAGTAAAGGTTAAAAATATATATACAAAGACTAATAAAAAAAACCAAAAAAAAAAACAATGTAATACGTAGTTAAGATGAAAAACAACGTCAGTATCATGTATTATTTGTGAAGTTGATACGGAAATTTTATCAACAAGGTTGATATCTTCCGATGAACATTTTTAGAAAAAGGACCAGACGTTCTTTGACATAACCTTGGTTCATCAACTTTCTACACAGACACTGGTGACGTTTTATAAAATCTTGGTAGCAGCTGCAAACTCTCGAATACCGAATGAATTGGGAATTAGGATAGTGATGCATTACAATTACGAGTTATTACGTACTGCGGGTTTCTTAATCTTTGCTTTTCCTGCTCTATATTCACTACTATTCTTCATACTTAATAAACCGCCTCGGTGGTCTCGTGGTAACGTGTTCGCCTCGAGTGCGGGAGGTCGTGGGTTTGAACCCCCGTCGGGTCAAACCAAAGACTTTAAAATTGGTATTTGCTGCTTCTCCGCTAAGCACGCGGCATTAAGGAGTAAGAGTAAAGACTGATCGACTCGGTGTCAGAATAAAAGAGGGACGAAAGATACCAGAGGGACAGTCAAACTCATAGATCGAAAACAAACTGACAACGTCATGGCCAAAAATAAAAAGACAAACAGACAAATAATAGTACAGATGACACAACATAGAAAACTAAAGACTAAGCAACACGAACCCCACCAAAAACTGGGGGTGATCTCAGGTGCTCCGGGAGGGTAAGCAGATCCTGCTCCACATGTAGCACCCGTCGAGTTGCTTATGTTATTACAAATCCGGTAAATAGTCTAATTCGGTAAGTCACATTCGTGAAAAGGGAAGGGTATTGTAGTTACGACATAAGGAACATATCCGATATCATCTGTGAAACGGTTATTCCATAACGTGTCAGGGTAAGGTGACATGTCTTCTTGCGGACTGTTACTTTGTGAACTAGCATTTTGAAAATTCGGCTCAGCGTGTCGGTCTAGTACAAAGCAGGGTGAATATTCATATAACATTAACATGTTCTCGTCTGAATATGCATATTAATTTGACGACGGACGTTAAGCAGCCATCCATCATCATCATCATTATACTTATTAAAGAGATGGATAATTTTGTGATGTTCACCCCTTTTATGAATAATATAGGTGTATAAATGGGATAAAATTTCCGCCTTTTATAATCAAATTTTCAAAGGGACGGTTGAATTTCTGTAGGAACTATTTTTTTGCCGCCCAAGCTAACTGACTTTCTATTTGCCGATATGTAGTAGAATGTTTACAATACTTTCTAAAGGACAAGAGAATAAAATCCTGTAATGTTTGTTTAGATAAAATGACGACGTCGTTTCACTCAATAATATTTGTCATTGACTGCTTTTCACCTCGCATATATCCGAACGTACATGTACTTTAAATAACTAAGAAGTGTACGTCAATGAGAAAGTAACACAGCAGCACAAAAACCTAATAGAAGGTCTATTTAAATTTTTTCTTACAGTAACAGCAATAATGGCAAGTAGCATGATGAAAACAATGGCGGAGATGGTCAATACTGCAAAAGATATTAAACTAAACAAGGACCTATTGAAACACTCAAGGTGAAATTTAACTAGCACGATTGCAAATGAACCTTGATTATTTTCAAATATTTGGGCGGCAAACATGCACTGAACAGACATTGATTGCGAAATGCGTATCTGTTGCAGTCAAATAAGTTTCGTTAATATGACTCAAATCTACGGTTTATCTCGCGAAACAATGTACAGGTACGTTTCAGAGACCAAAAAAAACACTTGATTTTACAACATCTTTGACAAAATTACTTGTATATTCTAGCGTAAAATCAATTTTCTTTTATAAGTGTAACAGTATCAAAAATAAGATAAGTTTTTAATATGACCATTTCCCCTTATCAAAGAGGCATTAATTTTGTACAAACTACAAGTAAAACAGATATGAATGATAACAAATTAATGCATACAGCTTACAATAATTGAATTGAAAGGATAAAAATGAAATTGCACATGTAAGTATACATTTGTATCTTGTGTGAATACACACGTGTTTTAAAGATAAAAAGTTCTAATGTCTTGAGTAATATATATCTTTAAAAATAAGTCTTGAGACCCTCAACAGTATGTTCATTCGTACAAGTGCGCTTTAAAATAATATTTGTGTAACATTTTTATATCAGATCAATCGTTCATATTTTATATCTTTTACTGCGTATTTGTGTATTGTTTTACCATTTCAATGATACACAAAACGAATCTTATATCAATGTTAAAAGACTTGACTGTCTATATTTCTTGCATGTTTATTTAAGAATTGAATGCGTGTCTTTGTTGTTTTATTGGGGTGTAAAGGCGTTGACCGAAGCACATTTGTTTATAAAGCGCGGAAGCAGAAAACACAATATATTGTCTCAGCAATTATAAAGTAGTCCATATGACTTTGGTAAAATTGATACTTAATGCATTGCTACTTACTCGGGCTTCTCGATTGCAATGTAGACATCCAGTCTAAATAATGAGCCATGCAGTTTATCAATAATAGACCCACTTCACATGCCTTCGATTTTGTACGACTTTGTCCCCAGCAGAGCTATAGAAAGACGGCACATTAACGGGAGTTACACCGACACCTTTTATGAATATAGTCACTCGTGCATTCAATCAGTTCATAGGCACTCTATCGTACACCATGTGACCTAATAACCTTGTTTTAGAAATATAATTTATATGAAATATATGAAAAGTGTTGATAAAAATTGTATTTAAAAAAAAACTAGCCCTCCAATAATTCATCTTTTCATGATTTGCAACAATTCATTTTTTTATATATGCTCATACACCTAATCAATACACGTTATTCCAGACTGTTCGAAAAGCGAGCGCTCTTTCTGATAAATTCCTTATATGAAGAAGATGGAATGGGATGTATGAGTTTGATGAATACAGAAGACAAAGTTTGGGGGATTCGTGTAGCTCCAGTAGAATGTGCATTTGATAATGGGATAATTGACGTGGTTTGTCATCCATGCGTGCAGAGATTATTAAACAGAGTTTGGTACAAAGATACAGCAGCGATGTGGCGTGATTGGATGAAGGTAAGTTTGTCTTTGTCAATTATTTTCTGTAAACATTTTTCAAACATGTCATTGAATGATTGCAAATTAACAAGACGTTTCTATTAATCTTTATACTTTCACCAGTATTAAATAATATTTACTGTAAGTCTATAGCATCAGGTTTTTGGTCGTATTTCTTCGTGGTTGTGTCGAAAAATGATAATGACATGTATCATAATTATGTCCCCAAAATTCTATTTGAAAGGAGTGTATAAATTTTTATCTTACCTCCTATACATTTCTAGGAATATGATTGGTTAAATGCAACCGCGTGGAGACCGTGTATATTTCATATGGGGTTAGTAGGCGTGGTTTATTTCAATACACGGTTAGTTAAGTCCCTTTGTAAAAACACGGTGTTGAGGAAAAATCTAAAAGATTTCAACAGACGAAGAAATTGATGATGAAGAATTGAGATAAATTCATAAAACACATTAAAAGCTAACAAGTTGTTATTGTTGGCATTTGTTTTTGTATAGAACAATGGAATTAGGTGCTTAATATTGAAGACTTGATCACTTTGATAGGCCACTACTCTAAATACCACATGTTAAGATAGTCGGTAAGATAAATTCGTTACAGTGTGCTAGTGACCAACCCCATATGGAAAAAAGTAAAAAAAAAAAAAAAAAAAATACCGAACACCAAGGAAAATTCAAAACGGAAAGTCCCTTAACAATCGGCAAAATCAAAAGCTCAAACATTTCAAACGAATGGAAAACAACTGTCATATTCCTGACTGGTACAAGTACCGAGCTACGTCTAATGGATGTTATCAAAAATGGACCAAATAGTAAACGTTAATATATTACAAAGACAAATAAAAGAACACTATAACACGTAATTAAGATGATAAACAACGTCAGTACCTAGAATCTATACATAAGACCATCATGTATTATTTGTGAAGTTAATACGGAATATTTATCAACAAGAATTAAGAATATTTAAAACAAAATATTATCAGAGATATATTTTCGTTTCATTTTTTAGTAAGAACAAAATGTTTATTAATGTTAATAAGATTGTTAAAGTACAATACTTGTCGAATATATATATATTGCTAACAATAACAACTTGTTAGTTTTTAAATGTGTTTTCTGCATTTATTTCCACCTTCATCATCAATTTCTTCATCTGTTGTCCGTGTGAAACGTTTCAGATTTATCCACAACGCCGTGTTGTTTTACGAAAGGCACGTAACACCACTACTTACCGTGTATTGAAATAAACCACACCTACTAACCCCATATTAAATATAAAGGGTCTCCACGCTGTCGCTTTTAACCAAAGATATTCCTAGAAATGTATAGGAGGTAAGATACAGATATATTTGAAAAGGGGTCATATCAGAAGCTGGAAAAAGCATAAACGTGTCAGAAAATTCAAGTTTGTTGGTACTGTATTAAATAAATTATGCAATATTTTCAAATACAGACACAAATTAACTTTTCGTCAGGTAATTTGAACAATTATAAGTCTATTAGATCGACTAGAAAGGTAGAAACAGTAATATATATAGTGAAAGGTATCTCATACTAAGTGTTATAGAGTAAACCGTTAATCCTATGACATAGTTTGAGTATATAAGGGGCATGCGGTGGCAAAATACACTGTCATAACTTCTAACTTCACTGTAATATAATGATAGATCTGTTTAACCGTATCTTTGTTTGGGCATAACGTTCTACATATATATATGGCTTTTCATCGATATCATATTATTTTCATCAACATTAGTCGCAACCATCTACCAACAAAAGGCTATATGGCGGCCTTTGATATTACATGAACAGGATGATAACTACTCAATATGCATGATCTGGTGACATATTGATACCTTTTAAAGTAAAGTTGATAATGAGAAAATATAAATCGTCACTTTTGGGTAAAGTTAGTTCTCAAGCGATGATCTGGTATTAATTGTGCAAACTATATAGTTGGATTGATATGAAACATTTTTATCTTAATATTTTACTGTTCATTACAAAAAAATAATTCAAATTTATTATATTTTAATACCTATACTTTTAAAATTTCTAATTTATAGACGAGCGTATGATTTTGTCAGGTTGTATGAACTCATTGACAAATTTACCTTGGGAATTCGGTAATTTTGTTAAAAAAAAATTCTCATGAAAGACATAGCACTTATTTTATAAAATGAACTCTAGCCAATTTAAGCTGAATTCATGTTCAATGCTCCAGGAAATATCTATAAAAATATGAAACATTAAGAAATATATCAATTAAAGAGTCTGAATAATTGACTAAAAGATTCTGAGAATTAAAAAAAAAATCCCTGATAATTTGTATAAAGCTTTACAATGCTGTTCAAATACATGTTTGATGACACACGATAACAATTTTAGTTCAGTTTTATCAAAATGAGTTAAATTAAACATTGCTGTTTTTTTAATTTGCATTTGAATCCGCATTCATGCGACCTTTGATTTAATCCTTTCGGATATGGGATGCCCATGTGCTCAGCATTTTAGTGATAAAAACGAATGAATGCTGATAAAAAGATTAAACTAGGGGAGGCCGCTACAGTAATCCCGATTTCTTCGTTTGTTTTGACCCCCAAAAATATGTCTAATACAGGTTACATTTTTAAAATTCATATGTTTTTATATTATTTATGACATGAACTTAAACAGAACTACGAAAATCGACCCTATAATGCTACACGTGCTTACCTGTCTATTTGTATGTTAAGTTTACTTTCTGTAATAATTATAACAGAGTAATATGCCAATCGACAGCTTTCGTTAATCTTGTTGATTATATGGCATTCAGTCAGAAATACACTCGAAACGTTGATATTGTGTTTTGTTTTGTTGAAATTTTGGAGTTCTGAAGTACGTTTTAGTATATATAAATTCACAAATTTGATAATTGAATAAATTCAATAAGCATGAATCGGCAGCTAATGCCATTTAAACATGATTAAGTTTAAAATTTCCAAAAGTATTGTCCATAACAAAAAAAATTCAATTTGTATTAAAAGACTATGCACGAAATGCCCTTTTTATCCATTTTTGTGGATAAATACTTAAAAACTGTCGAAATGTATGAATTATTTAATAATAACAACATAAACATTACCAATTTTACAGCTGACATGCATTCATCTTAAGAAGTTCGATATTTTTACATCCTCAAAATACATTTATGAATATGATTTAAAAAGAGAGGAAAGAAACCATTGTGCAATACATAAAATTAATTCCATTAAAGCAGACAGAAAAAAACGATGAACACACCAACAATAATATCAGAAATAAAGGCAACAGTAGTATATCGGTGTTGAAAAGTCATAAATCGATTGAGAGAAAACAAATCCGGGTTACAAACCAAAACCGAGGGAAACACATCAACTATAAGAGGAAAACAAAGGAACAACAGGAACACCGAAGTGCAACAAGAAACTATGCATAATTCTAAAGTTTGAGCAACACGAAGCGTCCAAATACCGGAAATGGACTCAAGTGACCCGAATGAGTTCCTAATTCACTAGTGATACTAGCCTGTTAAGATTAGTCTTATACGGTGAAAAGGCATCTCATAATTGCTTACATGCCAATGCAACTAATAGAACCCTTAGACATTACCAAACCCATAATGTGCATTTTAGTAAAGAATGAACTTCAGTTTTTTTTTCATGGTCCTTACAAGTAAATATGAAATGAATTCAGGGGAGGTTGGCCATGCCTCTTTTCAAAGGATTTCAGTATCAGGTTGAACACTTAAAAACAAATTAATACAACCGTATTAAAATATGACATTTTTATGTTACAGATTCTATTTTGCATTAGTATATCAAGTACAAAGCCTAAAAAAGCATGGAAATCACCAGCAATGATGTTTTTGATCCACTATGTAAGAAACACATATATATTTCAAAATACAATTCACAGTTGCCGTATTCAATTATTTGAATTATTGGGGCATACATTTTAGCTGGTTCCTCGTGAATGATCATTGTTCTACAACCTAATGTATTCACTTAAAAAAACGTAAGTTTTAGAAATTTAAATAATGTTATATTTTCAAATATGTAGGGTTTTCTATATTTGAAAACAACCATTAAAATAATCTTATTTAAAACGATAACATAATCATATTAAAAACGATTACATAGCCGTTTTCGACAATAAGTAATATATATATATAACGTCTTTTACGAATTAACGTATTTCATTCACGAAAAGCGTAGCTTGAGTGGATTAAATATGTTAATGAGTAAGGTGTGGCTATATATGATTTGTAACATTATCGGCGATGACTGGAGAGCGATTTATGTGTTATTGGAATCCCCCCAACCTCTCCATGGCAAAAATTATTGAGGGGATAGATGCAGAATCTTGTTAGATGTATACCATGCTGCCCGTTTTCAAAACCAATAAGATGTGTAGTTTTAGGAGAGATAAAAGAAGGAAACGTATGTCAAGCTTATTGTGTTATTGTGAAGGTATTCTGCCTTTCCCAACACCATGAAACTGATCGAATAATAGATGGGCTGTTGTTTGCGTAAGGTCCAGAGATAAATATTTTAAGCATGCTCAATTCACGGGGATATACCTTTAAAAAGTGGAGGAAATGAAACTACTAAAAATCCAATGACAAGTTTTTTTGGAATATTTATTTTGACACGATAAAAACAAGTATCCACCAATGTATCAATATCGCATCTTCGTTGATAGACCACGTTATTCTTTGTTGTCGCTCTCCTCGAGCATTCATTTTTTTCAAGTATAGAGAACCATTTTTAGTTTAGGGTTAGGTTTACAAGTTTGGCTAGTGTGAGAGTAAGCCCCCCACCCTCCTTTTCCTGAATTTTTGTTTTTTGATATATTGTTGTGTATGCATTTTGTTTTAATTTTAAAAGGACATTTCATGGTCATTGATTGCAAAGTTTACTAGGCCAAGGAGGCGGAGCTAGACAGTGAAATAAAAACTTCTGAGGGAAGTTAGAGCACTGGTCTAAGCTCCACCCATTCTTTGCTTTTCCTATGACAAACGACACACGACGGGATTGGAGAGTGCAAAAAAAAACAACATAAAAAATCATTCAGTTAACGCACTCCTCTAAAAATACCAGAAGTTAACTCACTCGAAGATCAAAGGAAAAAATTACCATTCATGTTACAATATTTTATACAAAAAAATCACGTAGTAGTTTGAATAGAAAAAATGAAAAAAATATAATTATCGGATTTCAAAAGACATGATGTATCATTTTTTTTAACCTTTTAACAATAGTAATATTTGCATACTTTTAGCCATGGCGTTATCAATTCATTTTTAACTGATCAGTTTGAATGTCCCTTTGGTATCTTTCGTCTCTCTCTTTTGCAATATTTGCAGTCTTAAGTCCTTAGTTATTTTACTTTTTGTGTAATATTGCTGCAGACCAATTTAGAATACAGCGAAGGATATGTCCTTTTCTTTATATATCACAATTAATGTCAAAGTATTCTTACATAACTAAAAATTGTGTACATTCAACATACAATTCGAGTATCCCTGATGGTTAAACTATAAATATATCAAGGCCTGTGCGTTATTATCTAGAATACATATACTTATACTAATCTGAATTAATCCATCTACTATTTTTTACTTGAAATGTTTTGCCTTTCCTTTTGTAGCTGATTATGTTGGGTATGCTAGTAGGTTACAGCGCATTCCTCTTATCTAACATTAAAGGTATCAACACATTTAGTGATATCGGAGTTTATGAGCTATTACTTTATCTATGGATCACTGCAGATGCCGTAGAAGAAATATTTGTATGTATAAAAGTATGGTATCGTTGAATAGCTGTCCAATATATTACTCATTTTTTAACATTCAATGAATACATGTAAATAATATGTATTGGTATGCTTTAGGCTTCTATGTGTATAAGGTATAATTTTTGTTTGAAATCAAATTATGCAGGCGGTATAAATCTGATTTTTGTAAACATTATTTGAACTATTATATATCCGAATAAAACAGTATATATAATTCAATGACCAATACTTTAGTGTTAATATTGAATTAAATGACAGTAAAAAGTACATAAAAACCATTTCAAGTAAAATTGGTACCGTTAATGTTATTCAAACTGACTTTTTCAGTTTGTTCATATTTTTTAAGTTATGCCATTATTCCATGTCGGAGGAGAGTTGTTCGCTCACAAACATGTTTAACCCCGTTACATTCTTTATGTTCCTGTTCCAAGCCAGGAGCAAGAAATTCAGCGGTTGTCATTGACTGCTGTTGTTATATTTGGTTTTTGTCATAAATTATACCGTTTGAATTGTTTTACATTTTGTACTGTCTGGGGCTTCAAAGCTGACTATACAGTATGGGTTTTGTTGAGTGATGTACGATGACCTAACGCTGATTACACCCACTCCGTATAGACACACACCTTCAATATGTATCTGTTTATATTGTTTAGTCATGAATCAGGCCGCTGTATTTGGCTTGAATTTTTTCACATTTTTTCATATCGGTCGTTCTAGGATATAGGATTTGCTTATTATTGATGGTCGCTCGTTGAAATACAGCTTTGTTTGATTATTGTCCCGTAGGAAATCACACCATATCGCCTTCTTTTATTCAAATTTCATCTAGCCAAAACAATGATCAGTGTATTGAATAAGGGTACATGGATGCATTTAGGCCACTAAATCAGATACTAATGGTCCTTTAGATATTCAATATCTAAACAAAAATTGCAAAAACCAGTTAATAGTGATTAAAACGGCCAATCATCAAGAAGAAATATGCCATTTTCTTTTCGGTCATGCTTTTAAGGTTTAAATTAGCGAAGAGAATGGTATATGTTAAGAGATTTATTGCAATAGACAGACGACGTAAAATTGCTAAAAACTTGAAAATTCTAGAATTCCTTTATTTTATGTTTATTTTGTTGATGAATGAATACGATAAAGTAAATTTGAAAGTATGTTGAAAGGTCTCATAGTTGACTCTGGACAGTCTTTGCAGAACAAATCAACGTTATCCTAGATCGTTAATAGGCAACAGTAGTTTACCGATGTTCAAATCAAAACCTAACAAAATAATACATGACGTTGTTTATCATCTTAATTAGGTGATATAGTGTTCTTTGTATTTGTCCATGTACAATTTTAACCTTTATTGTTTAGTTCTTTTTGGTAATTTAGTTTGGCGTGGCTCGGTAATTACACATCCCGCCATTATTTTATTGTGCTATAGTAAATTTTGTATTCTTGTCTTTCATTTTTGCTTATGTACTTTGTCTATAGAGTGTCATTATACCGTTTTGTTTTTATGCCCCACCTAGGAGCATTATGTTTTTCGGTCTGTGCGTCTGTTCTTCCGTCCGTCCGTCCGTATGTTCGTCCGTCCGTCCGTTCGTTCGTCCGTTCGTCCGTCTGTCCCGCATCAGGTTAAAGTTTTAGGTCAAGGTAGTTTTTGATGAAGTTGAAGTCCTATCAATTTGAAACTTAGTACACATGTTCCCTGTGATATGATCTTTCTAATTTTGATGACAAACTAGAGTTTTGACCCCAATTTTACGGTCCACTGAACATAGAAAAATGGTAGTGCGAGTGGGGCATCCGTGTACTATGGATACATTCTTATTCTTTGTTGAAATAGTTATTTGTTTTTATAGTGATTAAGATTATATTACAATGTTGACTGCTGTACTCCATTTGTTGACACATGACCTATTATGTCTGTTTATTTTGCTCACACATCGTGTCAATATAATGCTATAAAACCAGGTTTAATCCACCATTTTCTACATAAGGAAATTCATGTACCAAGTCAGGAATATGACAGTTGTTTTCCATTCGTTTTATGTGTTTGAGCTTTTGGCTTTGCCATTTTATAAAAGGCTTTGAATTTCCCTTAGAGTTCGGTATTTTTGATATTTTACTTTTTGTGTAAAATTGCTGCAGACCAATTTTGAATACAGCGAAGGGTAAGTCCTTTCTGGAAATTGTCTACATAATTAAATCAGACAAGACGTGGTTGTAAACAATTCCTGAGTCAAATGTGTTTTGATCACACTTGTTGAGAGGTCTATATGTTGAAATGTTAGGTGACAGAAACAAATATAGATATATATTGGAATGTTACTGCTTCTATAGATGCTGTACAATTCAGAACTAGAAATATTGTATAAACTCCTTGTCCCAAACTTCATGTTTTGTTATATGTTTTATTTTTGATTGCTGTCTCGTTAACGTAATATACTCTTAGGTCATGTTTTCAATATGAAATGTATTAGATCTTATGTTCTCCTTCGCAAGGTTTAACCGAGAATGAATTACTTATATATTAAAACTGAACATTTACTTAACATGAGATCTCCTTGTGAGAGTAGCATACTTTAATTCAAACCATTTTAAGTCAAGATATACAAATTTCCAAAATAAGTTTATTTTATATTATTAAAAAAAATCACGTCATTACGGCCGATTTTGTACGTAAAGTACAACTTTTGCAACTCCTCGTATATTTTTGTAATTAAGATCTAATTGTCCTGCATCTATTCCTATGCGGGTTAGGATACACTGGTTTTTACCTCTCTCATGGAGTCTTCATATTCAAGAGTACGTAGCTGGTGCATCCAACATTGTGCAATTTCTTCTTTTTGTATAAAATGAACGATGATTATTTAGTCTGATGTTGAATCTGGTTTCTGTTGTGCCTACATATTGCAGATAAAAAATTCAACAAGTAAGAACATGAAAACTAATTTCCTTTTAACAGTAAGATATTGCATAGATGCGGTATCGCTGCTTTGTTACTATGCTGATGAAAGTTATGTTATTGTTGGCGACTTTGCAGCACTTAGAATTGCTTCTTCAGCATGGTTTGTAACACCAAATTTTCGAAGTCATTTGTTTTGTTTTAATTAAGATTAACAGGTATACCTTCTTGAGATTTTTTTTAACTGCAATAAGTCATAACAGGAGGCTCACAAAACCAATCCTAATCAGTAAATTTGAATATCAATTTTTGCATTGTTGATTGCTTTGTATTTGTCAATCTGTACATTTGCAATACTATAATCTTATATTATCAAATTATTTTCACTTCCGTTTAGAATTAACCGTTTTTTTGTTTGGAGATATCCACAATAAAATCAAAATTAAAACAATTTCCTAATGTTGGTAGTATAAAGGTTTGGTTGGCGTGCCTGCTTTGTTTGTATAAATATTTGCTCAAGCATTGTAATTATGATTGTTCTCTGCAATCAATAGATAGGCGAGGCCTCAGCTTGTATACATTACACTCTGCATTATACTTAACATCCAATAACATTTATGTATAATGCACACAAGCTGAAGCCCCGCCTATGTATTGATTGCAAATGTCAATCTTCATTACAATGCTTGAGCAAACCTTTATACAAACAAAGCAAGCCAGCCAATCAAACCTTTAAACTACAAGCATTAGGAAAATAGCTCTAAAAACTAAATCGAACATGTACAAATGACTTTTATGTATTGTTTTCTTTTCCAGAGAAACATTGTGATAACGGTGCAAAGAAATATATCTCACAATCAATCTCGCAAAAGGTTCCGGTTGTATTGTTATCTGACCAACTTATGGAATGTTTTAGCATTACTCTCTTATGCAGTACTTGTATCTGCAGTATTAGTTCGTACTTTCAATGGTGGCCAGCGTTTTGAAATTAGACTCTACAGCCTTGGATTGTTTATAATGTATATGAGATTTTTTCATAGCTTAATGGTGTTAACATATTTTGGTCCAAAACTTATTATGATTGGCAAAATGGTGAGTTACTATTTCATTCAACAAAATTAATCTCAAGCTAACTACTTGGTACATTTGTTGAATCTTCCAATGAATATTAGAATATAAGACAAAAAGATATAAATTTAAAACAATTTATGTTCGTTTGAGATACATATGTTGAAATCGCAAACCATCCTAACAATTACATTGTGCTGCCTCGAACATTTTTAAGTGCGATATGCTTTGTCCGATTTTTTTACAAATAGATATTGTTTTAATGAAAACATGTGTGTGCCCAATGGAACTTTTCCGACTCGTTTTAATGAGTGGATAGAACGATTTAATTGATAAATTGAGGCTCTCAAAAGTTACGAGTAAAATTTTGCCAAAGCCGGAAGACTACCCGATACTAAGTTTAGATTATTTAGTGCAGTACTGCTTAGTCATAGAGTTTATATATTTATAAGTTCCATAACTATTATAATAATACGTATGAGTATGAATACATTGATATTCGTTTTTAAGATAAAGCCAGTAAACCAATATTGCAGTGTTTGAACGAACGGGAAAAAATGTAATATGAAAGCTTCAAGGGTGCCACAAGAACATTAAAAGAAACAATTCGATTGTATTTTTGTTTGTTTTTGTTGTATTATCATCAGTTTTTACCAAAATCATGTTTAAAACGGTCCTAAAATAAAAGTTTGATAATACCTTTTTAATACTTTGTAGCTTAAGGAATTGCTTCAATTTAGTTGGATCCTGTTTGTTTTTATTATGTGTGCTGGCGTACTGTATCATTCGAATATGTATCCTAATCATCGTGATATGTGGCCAAATCGTGGAGCAGATACAGCGCATTGGCGAATATGGAAGATCATTTCATTACCTTATTGGCAACTTTATGGTGAACTATTCATTGATGAATTGAAAGGTAACGACTATATGAACGATTGAATGTAGTATGATAGCAATACTTAATTATTAAACACAAAGCACGTACTAAAATTTGTGTTTGAAACATATTTCATCCTACGAGAAGGTTAAGCAAATATATAGTCAGAAACCTGTTGTTCGGTGGTTGTCGTTTGATGATGTGGTTCATAAGTGGTTCTCGTTTCTCGTTTTTTACATAGATAAGACCGTGTGTTTTCCTGTTTGAATTGTTTTACACTAGTCTTTTTGTGGCCGTTTATAGCTTGCTGTTCGATGTGAGCCAAGACTCCGTGTTGAAGGTCGTACTTTGATATATAATTGTTTACATTTTACACATTGTGACTTGGATGGAGAGTTGTCTCATTGGCACTAATATCACATCTTCTTATTTGTTTCTAAGAATTCAGAAATTAGTTTACATTCTCCATTCTCCATTATAACCATTCCATTGAAGATTTCTATATTAAAAGTGTACAAAAAAAATATTTGAATGAAATAGAAATTCTGAATTACCACTCGAAGAGACACCATAGGTTAAACAAATTGTACAAGTTATAAGTAATGATGCAAATTGATGCTTTTAACAAAGTGGTTCACTTATTTATATGCCTGACGCAATTGAAGAGATTAACATTTATAAAAGGAATTAACAAATGTTGCATGCCACGACGATTTGATAACTGCGTATTTTCTAAAGGAATTCGTATTTTATGTTTTCCTTTATGCAACGTTGATTATCACTATGTTCATCGACGGCGAAGTATGTATTAAGATTATAAACAAGTACACCCAAAATGTACATACATAATTGATAAACCATAGCGAAATCAAGTTTCAAATTCGAATGTTGTTAATTTTTAAAACTTTGTTGCGAATTGATGCCATTGGTCTGAATCAAATAAATATGTCTTGTAACTGCCTGCATCCGCCAAAGTACTACATATAAGCAAATTGACATTATAGTGAAAAATAAATATTTTCTGTTAATTTGCAACTTTCTTTTTACAAGTAACTTTGTTCCATATGATTCAAACCACTTACTGAATAAAAGGGGCGTACACAGAAATACAAGAGGAAGAATTGTGTTATACTTCTCGAAACGACATGTTATGTTGTGCATTCAATATTCAATAAAACATTATGTGCTTGTTTCAACTTACATAGTTTGCAAATAATTAATAATGTGTAAAATTTATACACGACTTAACATTATTATGTGGCTATTAGTAAAATGTATTTGTTAATGTTGTCAAATCGAACACTTTGACCTTACCATTTTTCTGATACTCATTTGACCGATTAACTGTTTATTTCTTTTTTATTTTCAAAGACAATAAATATCTGAAGTACTTTACAAATGGGTTTCTAGATAAAACGATGTGCTTAAGATTATTGTGACATCCTTTCCTAGATCATTATTTATGCTATATGTCTGAATGTTACCGACAAGTATATACACTCGAAATTTGCATTTTTCAATTTTGAATCAGCATTTTGTTTGAAAAATGACCAAACCTTATATGTGGATGATTTGCATGTTTTACCTTCACATCCACACAATATTATGTTTAAGTGAAACAATGAACAAAATTGTAAACATTCATCAGCCTACAAGTGCTCACAGTCATTGTCATTTATGATTTTAAAACACATTTATATCAAATTTATTTTAAAAAAGGTTCAAATAACCGACCAAATTTTTTTTTGTGTCTTTGATTTTTTGTCATTTCGACGATTAATAATTTGAATATATAACTGATTACAACAAAATGAATTATAATATTTCGAAAACAAATACGAGGAGGGTATCTTTTAATGAATGTTTTACTGAGATAAAACGAACAAAATTGACACACCGTATTATTTTTTAGTTTTAATCATGATATCCTTGATCGACAATTCCTGTTTTTACGGAAGCAAAGCAGCCTAGGATAGCTATTGTAAAGATGAACTTATCCCCTCGGAAGTTAGACGAACGCCATCATTATTAAGTTATGGAATATCTGTTTCATAGATGACCATGGATATGTTACAATAGCCAAAGAAACTATCAAATCCTATTTTTCTCAATTCTGATTGCCCAATGCGACTGATCTGTGATTTGTATTTTCAAGCTAGGCGATATTATTTATACTACCTTAACGTAACTTAAAAGTAAAATGAACATTATTTAAAATCCAATTAACTGCAGACCTTTGAAATCATTACAACCTTTATATATCACGTTCTCAACATTTTACAGAAAACGAAAATGCAACGAAAAATTCCATACGATAGGTGAAATCGCCAAGAAAAATACTATATAATCCACCACTAAACGTCGAGGTCAACGTCTAAATTTAATCATTTCGGTTTTGATTTATTTTTGTTCAAATAAAGCTTATGTTTTATATAGGAAAAACCAATAGCAATGATACTTGTACATCTGTTGAATCAGAATGGGAAAGTAACCCAGACCTTGACAGATGTGTTGAATACGACTGGGCTATTATGGTTGTAGCAGCCATGTATATGCTGATATCAAACCTCCTGTTGTTTAACTTAATCATTGCCCTGTTTAGGTAATTACTATTTAGAACATTGTTTCAATGAAATAATAAAAATATGTTACGTCTGTTTTTTTGTAGCATTTGGTCCCAAAAAAATTAATAGAAATTGTAATTAAGAGTAAACGGTAGAGTAAACCATACCATGACAATGGTTTTTGGCATTTTACAACAAACAGAAATTCAAGTTTCAAGTTTTTGCCATAATTTCGATTTGAATAATTTACCATCATAAACTTTTGACGCAGACATGTGTCACGCTTTTATGTAATTCTATTAGTTTAATGCAAATTTTAAAATTACAATTACAATATATCAATATGTAAAACATGCAATGTCAATGAACCATGACTGAAGATGCAGGATCAAGTAACCTACATGGAAATGAAAATTCTTATGCTTGTCAAACTGCATGCCAAATACCATTGTCGTATCCTCTATGGTTCCCTTTAAATTAACATAAAAACAATCTTGAATACGTAAAATAGGCAAAAGTTTCAAAGTAAATGAACAATAATGAGGGGGTAGGGCCATATAATGGCCATGAAAATGAGACGTGCAAATGCTAATACAACTGCATACCAAATATCTTTCAGATAGGTTTATCATTATAGGTTCATCTTAAACTGACGTAATCGCTAAATTTAATATTTGAACTAGGCAAAATATTCAGAGTCTATAGACCATGACAGAGGGACAGAGCCTTATTTTCTTCATGGAAATGAGACGTGCCAACGTCTACACACCTACATCATCGGCATACCACTTGTAGATCTCCTTAAACTGATCTAATCACAACTAAGCATAAGTTTCAAAGGCAACAGACCATGAATTAGGGAAGGCCCAAATACAAAAGCCTACCAAAAAACATTGACATAGCACAAGTGGTTTCCTCTTGACTGACCTAATCACAAACTAATACAGTGTTGAAGCCAACGCCGCCAGAAAAAGCAGACCAAAGTCGTCGAGGTGACATTAAAATTAATGACAATCGAGCAACTCTACAATTAATACATTAATCATTTGCTCATTGTGTAGTTAAATATCCTTTTTGTTTGTTATTTTACTTTTTACTTGATATTTTGGTCTTCCTTTTATGGATCCAGCATAAAAATGTTGTTTCCAACTTTGTAGTTTTTATTTGTCCTTTAAAGATATTCAACTTACTGAATATTTTTATCTAATACAAGTATCCAGCATTTTGCTATGTAGCCTCGATTTATAAAATAATAGGCTTTATGGAACTTATGAAACACATTTTGGAAGATTTTTTCTTAAATGCAGTATCTCGTTCGCCATTAAAATATCACGGATCTGCTAATTACAAAATATTATATTACCCGAAAAAATTGCCGGTTTAAATTTGTATTCATCTACCTCACAAAATATAAATTCTGCACTATACAACTCTGTTATAACCTATTTATAAAAACCATACTTTTTATCTCGTTTTATGTAATAGTATTATTATTCTAGCTATCGATTCAAGGAGGTGCAAAACAACTCTGACAGATTGTGGAAGTACTGGAGATATGCAACCATCAAAGACTATAGCACAAGATTTCCTGTGCCGTTCAATGTGTTCTTACATGTCTTCAATTGCATAGTCATGTTTTACAGTAGGTACATTGTATAATAACTTAAAAGAATAAACGATAATTTCCTAAATATAAAAAAGAACGGAAAGTGTCCGAACTGACAAAATAACATGACAAAATATAATAAATGAAAACAGTATATCAAATGGTGCGTACGTTTTTGCTATATACATATAAATTTCAACATACTGACACAATCAAACCCTCTAAGATGCAATGCAAAGCTCAAAAGAGCTGATTTTACATATATGTCTATTATTTTCTTTTTTTCATGACCTTGAAACTTTTTTCGGAAAATCATGGTTTTGTGCCAAACATAGCTTTATTTTTGCAGAGATTGACTCAATCAAAAATGCAGAAGTTATAAATGTTTTAAATATTGATACTGAATAAAGAACTGTGGGAAACAAAATGTTTGACTAAAAAAGAATTATTCTAAAATATCTCAAAAACAATTAATTAAAATTTTCATTTTTCAGGTAACTATGCATTATTGATGTATCCCAAATATACGTGCAATCAATTCATAAACGTTATCAAATGTTGATAATTGTTATAATGTTTTATTGATAAACTTGATATATGAAACAATATGCGAAGTCAATGTTTAAATTATTCTTTGTAGCAAACATTTTTATAGGTGAAAGAAATGTTATCCTTGTATTTTGTCTGTTTCGTAATAACATTATTGAAAGAGGTAATAAGTGTAGTGAATGAATATACATTCCTGTACATGCAGAAATAAGATTATATCTGATGGAAGTGTTAATAAATATACACAGATATTTTAATCAAGGTTGGAGGTTAACTCGGAAGCGCAAATCACAACTTGCAAAATGCAGGAGTATACACCTCAAGCCTGTGAATTAATTTTTAAATATACAATTTGTTTTAGACTTATGAGTTTGAATGTCCCTTTGGTATCTTTCGCCTCTTTTTTGCAGTTTGAGCTTATGTTATGTCACAACATTTTCTAAAAGCGGGAGAGTTGAGTTGTTGAAACACGTGTTACTCCGCCATATTTTGGGTGTTGCCGTCGCAAGCAAGCCGTCAGTTGTCCAGTAATTGTTATAAATTGCTGCCGTTAAATGTTGGTTACTTCAATCAGGCCATGATTTGTCCCGTTTAAATTTCTTTCGTTGTTTATAACACGCAGATGCCTTTTGAATATTGAAATGTCGCCACTGATTTACATCGAACCATAGTTAATATGTTCAAAGATTAAACTCCGAGGTGATCATGCATTAGAAATCCCAATTCGAAGAAGATCTGATGAAGTATTTCATTTCATTTCAGAAAGAAAACGACCGAATTGTAAAAGACAAAATGGAAGTCAAAGGGTGGTGAATACTCGATTAAGTATGTCAAAATTTGAAATAACTTGTATATTGATTTAAGTCAGAATTTTGTATGTGTGTGTGTGTGTGTGTGTGTATGCCTGCGTTACTGTTTTGTTGTTAAACAGTAATTTACGTATATGCCTGTATAATATTTTATTTTTCATACAGACCAGTTGTTGTCCTGCAAATTTTAAGCCGAACGGCGTGAATGCTACCTTTTTTTAGTTAACACTCCCTGTATTGTATAGAACGTCTTTCTATAGATATAAGAAGATGTGGTATGAGTGCCAATGAGACAACTCTCCATCCAAGTCAAAATTTAAAAAAGTAAACCATTATAGGTCAAAGTACGGTCTTCAACACGGAGCCTTGGCTAGTATAAAACCATTCAAACGGGAAAACCAACGGTCTAATCTATATAAAAAAACTATATTTCTGTCTATATACTGAACCATACCTTTCATCCAACTGGACCATGAGCTACGAGGAAGTTTTCCCGAGTTTAAGTCTCTCTCCTCCCGGAAATACATCAGTAGCAACTATTAACATTGCATTCTCGACGTTTTTAAAATGCAATATGAGTGCTATCATTAATACGACAGCGCTTAAACCATATGCAACGAACGACAAATGATTTTTAAAGGCTAAACATGGATTTTTGTTCTTGTAAAACTTGTGTCACTCCACAATATCTTGTAACTATACCGTCATGCGAAAGGTATATAGTATATACCTTTCATTTTTATTTGACTTTTTTGTACGTCATTATTTTTCGCTTCTGTCGGGAGTTTTTGGCTTGTAGGGTCTTTTATACCTGCTTATACTTTAAGTGAATCTTTATAATGCTTTACAGAAAATTGTGTATGCCAACGTGGCCCAAAATTGCATCCTTTTAATGTTGGATTGAAAACCATTGTAGATTTGCTCACATACATGTATTCATTTCTATTGTCGTTCATTTAATCGATACGATAAGTAAGGTATCGGTACTGAAATACATCTTTTTTCATACAGAAAATGATAAAAATGATATAGGCAAACTGAAAGAGATTTGAAACAGAAGTAATCTAGCTCTCTATATATGTTTATTGTTCAAATAGCTAAAATATGAAGTATATCATTGAGACACAATAGTAATCTGTTATCAATCTTAAATGAATGAATATATTTGAAACAACTGACATTCTTTTCAATGCACACAAATATATCAAAACAGTTATTTAGAGGCTAACGTTTGCAAATTCAGACATTTGGTAGCTAGCATTTGTAGACGAATTATCAACTTTTATATCAGGTATAAGTTGCAAAGTCAGCTTAAATATTTTTGCTATTCTGAATAATGATCTTAAAAAATGTTAACGGTGGTGTGAACACTTTTTTCAAAAACGTCCTTAAACTAACGTCAGATTGTGAGTTGCAAATATTTTTTTTATTGTCTCACACACAAATCTGTTAAATACACATTTCATTTATATATATATATATATTTATTTTTGTTAATTGAAAATGTTGTCTTTTTAGAAAAGTGCATTGAAGCATGTTCTCTCGAACCTGACACGCTAATAAAGCTGCAAGCGAAATATGCCAACAGTCGTCTCTACAACGAAATGACTAGAAATTAGATATATTTAGATAACATTGCTGTTAAGTTTAAAGGAAATTGTAGCATAGCCAGTAGCTATTTTTATGATGTATTCGTTTGTGGCAAACCACATTAAAAGGTTTTATCTCTTCCAAATAGAAGATTTCGGTGACATTTAGACACAAAAGGAATCCGCACAAACATACGAAATGTTTTGTAACTTCTGAGTAAAATTTGATTTAATTGTCCGACGGACATTTTCAAGGAAATCAATTTGATAAGAAGAACGGGATAAAGTTCTTTCAAGAATCTTGAATAGATGCTATGTAACTCAATATACATTCAAGGTATTACTTAAAGAAACATTTAAACTGGCAATTATTTTGGACACTTCTAGAAACATAACGAGTGCCCCTAGTGGAGCAGGATTTGCATTTTCTTTCGCATACTGAATACCACAGAACTTACATGCTAATATAAAATAAGACAATGAGGTATGATTGCTAATGAGACTTCTATTCACCAGAGACCAATTATGTAAGCAACAGTAAGTCACCGTACGGACTTCAACAATGAACAAACCCAAAAAGTCTCAAAAGATATGTATAATACTTCAGATAGTTAAAAACAAAACCTGATTAGAAGATAAACGAAAATGGTCTATAATTTTAAATACAAACTTCAATTGTCCTTTTACATAAATCTGCAAGGGATAAAAACTGCTTAAACCCCTAGACCCCTGTATTGTCATAACATCGACGTTAACAGACATGATATGTTCTATAAATTTTTATGTGTATTAGCTTTCAACAAAAGCAGCATTAGTTTTGCAATCATATTCTGGTCTATTTGGAATTAGTTTTAGCTGTATTCTGTATAAAGTTCTTTGATAAATAAATTGTTAGTTGTGTATTTACCGTTTTATATCTTTTCTCTGTGTATGATGTTATCCTTTATTAGTATTGAGATAGTATGCATTACAGTCATATAACCCTACAAATAAAAGAAATATATTTTACAAAAAAAATGAGTGTCTTAATTTTTGTGTTGATGTTGTTTAAAGATGCTATAAATTTTACTTCGATCCTTAAAACTTACTGATCCTTTGAACAAATATATTCTAAAAGGTTATGAATTTAATATTTTAGTAAGGTATTTGAATTTTGTCTGTATCGATACTTAATAGATTCCATCATAACCCAATATGTATTGTACGGAGACTTACACTGGAGGTGTCCAGTGTAGCGCTGAAGATATAAAGTTGAGTGCTGCAAATGTAAAATCTATGCGTGGATACATAGGTTCTGAAAATACAGCTAGGTGGGATGCAATCTTTTTTTCATTGCAATACTCGTATGTATTCGTTTATATACAAAAACCACGTGTAGAAATTTAGCGAAGGGAACACAAAATTTCAGAATTTCAATGATTCAAACTTGAAAGAAAGATTGTGGTTTTATAGACAATTTAATCGAACAAAACGTTTAAAGTTATGACATTCAAAGTAAATAATATAAAAATAAAAGGATGCGTGCGATATGATTTCCATTAAGACAATTCTCCGCCAGACAAACATACTTGTAAAATATACTTTTTTTTTTTGCGGTCGTTTTATATTCAGTCATTTATCTTTTCATCAAATAAAATATTAGTTGGGCTGTAAATTAAGCTAGGTATGGTTTAAACTGAATTTCTAACAGTTCTTAAGGCGGGAGGATGAAGTTCGGTTTTTTTTTTTGAGAATAATTAATGATATCGATATTAATGGGATAATCTATATTTTAAAGGTTATTGCACTATAAGCTGTTACATAAATTACCGTGCCTACATAACTTGACAAGGCATCCCTGAAGGTTAGTTTGCTTAACGTACAGGTAAATTGTTTAACACTCCATATTTTCTATTTATATACATATGGTTGATTCAAGAGGGATCACCGGTGCCTGTCTCCTTCAGTTTTCTACAAATTCAAGTTTAAGCCTTTCCTGTACATACGAAAGGGATTTCGCGAAACATCGTGGACTCGCATCTGATACATGCACAACTCACAAACGTAAAATGATGAAATGTCTGCCGGTATAAAACACTAGCGATGAAGACATTTCTGATTACGCTATATCGGTCAAATATTGACAGGTGTTGTATCAGATAAGAGCAAGATAAACATATTTGTCTAAATTCTTTACATTTGTTTCACTTTTTCGACCACAATACAAATATATTTGTTTATCACATTTGCACAAAAATTAAAGCTAAAATTTAAAAAAAACTATGGAAAAATATATCAACAAAAATAAACAGTTTGTACAGGTGATTGAAAATACATTACTCTATTGAAAGTACTAGATGCAACATTTGAATGATCATTGAAACTGCAATCCTTAACCAATGCTGAATAGTTTTAAAGGATAAATCCCGAAAGCCATACATCATATTTCAAAGGGTCCTTGATATTACCGGCTTAAAGTAGGTTAATATCATGTATAGGTTGTTTTATTTTAATATGGCAATATCAACATTTGTTATAATATTAATTTGATAAAATGTCACTGACAGTTCAGAGAAAGAGATACACAACGAAGTTATACGATATTGATTGCACTACATGCATTCTATTAACCTGTTTAATTTTTAGAAGCCTGACATAAAACTACAATTTTTAATTGTCCCTTTAAATTCTTGTCCTAATTGATATTCATACACATAGCCTTTATTAAAATTTATAGATTTGTTAAACAAATGACCTTGATTGCAAAATCAGTAAATCAAAAGTTATATAAATTCATAATTAGTTGAGCAGCACGAGTATCCGAAATCTTTACAATGCAGTCAATGTAAGTATTTATAGATAAATATTTTAACAAAGTTTGGTTTACAAAATGTTTTCAACTATGATAACGGTTGTAATATTTTTCCTTCGGTTAAATAAACTGAATTTCGAAAGGTTAACAAGGCAGTAATTAAGTCACAGAATGTATGCGCAATATTTGCTCATGCACATGACATTTCTCAAAACTTAAAACGTGAAAGAATGAGACTGTAAGTTATAGTTATGGGAAATACTTTTAAAGAATGCGTTTTAATTCCAGTTTAAATTTCAACAAACATTTGTCTTATAGTTTGTACATATGAAGGATATCAGCAAAACATAGCTGCGCTATACGTCGAAAGAAATTTTACTCCATAAAAAGTTTTCACAGTTCAGTTACAAAAGTGTCCTTTATGCTCAATCCCTCCTTTTTGGCTGAAATCCAAAGTAAGAGAATAGGAAATACATTTGAATAGTTGATAAGACCTGGAAGTGAGTTAAGCAGTAGAACATCATTCTTAACCATTACAGTTTTACTCAATTTAATACAACTGGCTTATAATTTGACAATATTTGTCATAAGATAATTTATAGTGCATATATGGTGTATTATGTAAATATCATGGCTTAAGTATGCATTTTTTGTAAGTGTTTTCTGTTGGGAACTATATTGTGTAGAATTGTTTAGTCTGTATTTTAAAATGTCGATAACACTTCACATTCGGTGCGACCGATTGGCTTCCCTTGATTTACCTTCATCAGTGTGACAACCCAACATGAAAGCCAAGCACCAAAACTTGAGAGCTAGATGAAAAAGAGGCCTAAAAGGATGGCGAATCTTACTTTACCGACCCAATATAAGGTAGATGTATATATAGGCATAAGGATAGGTTTGCGCGCATCTGAAACTGTTTTCATTCCACCACACACCTTTCCTGTACGTACTTATTCAGGCTACATGTATTCGTAAGAAAAGTGGAAAGATATCTATCAGGTAGTTTCTACAAATGGTACAAGGTACTTAACAGAGCGTTGATTTACTTGCACAGGTTTTTACAGAAAATAATGTTCTCATTGCCGTACTAACTTTACTTCCTACCTGGACATAAATATCAGTAAAAATAAATCAAAGATACCAGGCTTTTAGTAAAACCAATTCTGGATGCTCAAATCCATCCCCTTTTGTTAATATAAAAAAGAAGATGTCGTACGATTGCCAATGAGACAACTCTACAAGAGACCAACTGTTAAAAGACCAAGACTACTTCTGCTAATATTGAACACCTATTTAACACTTGTAAACATTTTTTTATCTGAAACGATTGTTTTGATCTGAACAGCTTCTAAATGACTGAACAATGAACAATAAAAGAGAGGTGAAAGTTACCAAAGGGACATTAAAACTCATAAGTCGAGAATAAACATGGCAAAAAAAGAAAAAGACAGAAAGAAAAACAACAGTATACAAAACACAATATATAAACAACTAAAGACTGAGCAACACGGACCCCACTAAAAACCGGAGGTAATCGCAGGTGCTCCGAAAGGGTAAGCAGATCCTGCTCCACATGTTACACCCGCCGTGTTGCTTATGTGAGCACACCCCCGGTGATAAGACTAATTTCATATGTAATTTATACTTTCAGTCAGTTTTTCTAGACTTATCCACTGCAGTGAAATCAATACTGTTCAGACAATTCGCTCGCAGTCAATTAAGATCTGTTTAGGCTATATTCAGACTGTAAGTAGTTGTTATTTACCTGAACACATCAACATCATATTGAATTGTCTGAAATGCTACTGAAAAGTATCGAATCGTCTTCAAGCGAATTGTCTAAACAGTATCGAGTTGACTGAAAGTGAATTGTAAGAACCGTACTGAATATACCGCAGTGGATAAATCTTTAAATTGACTGAAAGACTGAACACGACTTAAGGTAGCACTACAGCCTAATAATGATTTTTTAATGAATTATTTTTTATCACATTATTTTAAAATTGAACATTTGGTAAAAATCCGTGAGTCATTATGATGTCACAACAGGGAGTACATCAATAAATAAGTTATGTGAATAAAATCACATGGTAAATACCTTATATATAAGAGCATATGGGAGGAGTTTATCTTTTAATCATCTGTTGATACCAAGTGTCCAGCTCTTAATCCATGACCACAAGAAAAATAATGCGGTCTTATCATATTGTGTTGCAATCAAACTTAATGTACATAACTATGGAGGTAAACAAAAAAAATGTACAAAGGGAAAAAAGATGGAAGAAAAAAAAACCCTAAAGTAAGGACACATTTACTAGTAGATTAATATGAATATGTAACAGTAGCTTTTAAAAGCCGCTGACAAATGTTCTTACTAAAGCAAGACATTTTTATTTTTGAATCTGACACCAGCAACAATCCTTATTTTAAACAAATCACATTGATAACATTGATTTGTTTTACTGCACTTTACGAATTTGTGTTCTATTTTGTAGAGAACAATAGGTAGTACGAACATATATTTTAATGTATACTTTAAGTTTCTGTGTCCTAGATAATTTCCCTGTACCATATATCCCTTTTAAGATATGAATGATACTTGTTATTTCATAATGAGAATTATGTTAAATAATTATTATATGCAGCTAATCGCTTTCAATATTCTCTTATTTTAGTCTGTCTAAAAAGGGGGAAGCTGTGACCATATTTAATTACTACATTACAGATGTTGGTAAAATCCGTGAGTTCAAACCCGGCAAATGCTAAATTATTGTTGTTAGGGGATGGACAGTGCACAAATTATGAAAATTTCCAGTTTGAGGGTATAATAGAAAAAAACTGTGTGGTTCTATTAAACAAATAATGGTGTAAGAACACTCCTGGGGTATTCGCAGAGGAATTTTTATATTTATGTTGCATGTATAGGGGTTGAAAAGGGATTTTTAGTTTTGTTTTTCAAAACAATTTTTCTTGGGAATTGTTATAAAAAATGAAAATAGAATTGTTAAGGGTATCCCCTAAAGTTTAACTTTGACATATGTGATTAAAGGGAGTATTTTCTACAAACCCGTGTCCCAGGTTTTGGAGAATCTATTTCTGAATGAATTTAT